CGCCATGGCAACAACAGGGTCGTCTAGGGGTGCGGTATCTAATTGCGGCTCTCCCGGTGAATCTGAGGCTTGGACGAGGTCTGGGCTTGGAAGCACGGTTGTGGAAGTGAGGTCTTGGATTGGCTGCATGGCGTCTTGCTCTTGTTGCAGAGACGGGCTTTGGTCTGGAATGGACCCTGCTTCTAGGTAGTAATAATCGTCTAACTCATCATGCAAAGAGTGGTCGATTTGATTGGCAGCCGGCCGGGGATCCTCAGCGTTGTCGTTGGCTATGTCGGATAGTGTGGCTTTGGGGGGTGCAGGTTGGGGTTCAAGCTGGCGTGGTGCGTCCATGAGTGGATCTTGTGGTGTGGCAGATGTGCTTTCAGCAGCTAATGGAGCTGCAGCCCTGTGGGGATTAGACTGTGAACTGTCGAAGAGAGTTGAAGATGCAATTGTGGACGTTTCCAAGTGCTTGGGAATGGTCGGCTCCAAGGGCTCCACTCTGGACGCGGATAGCACTGACTGCTCCCCGGACATTGCATCCGTGGCTGGCGGCTCTGCTGGCATTTGGATTGCAAGCGCTTCAGCGACTGGCTCCCCCGTGTTGGTTGGCACAATGTCAGGTGGAGACGCAGACTCCACTGGTTTCTGACTCTGTTCTGCTGCTGCTGCTGCTGTTGGTGTTGATGTCGCTGTTTTTTTTTTCTTCTTCTTGGTTCTGACTACCGCTGACTACGGAAGAAAATTATTTACAGCCCAGAGCCCACGAGAAAGTCCCAAACTGATCAATGTCCCTCTCACCTCTCACCGAAGACGCGGGCACTTGCAAATATAGGGCTGTGTGCTTGTGGACATGGCATAATGGCAGAAAATTGAGCAAAAAAACGACTGCGCACGCGCATAAGAAGTATATAAGGGCGCCAATGCAACGTCGGGACTACGATGGTACGGAGTGAAAAGGCGGTGCCGGCCAATGGGCGAGGGGCAGGGAACTGCCAGCTCATCGACAATCTGAGCGGCCCAAGGCTGCTGCGCACCGATTGCATTCCCACGGCTCCCAGCCACCGCTAAGGCTTCGAGTATCTCGGGGGCTCGCAGCGTGTCGGCCGCGTGGTGGGTGTCTCTGTGGGCGTGTGTGTACGGGCATCAGCACCACGACGGCCAGCAGCAGCGGCGAGACGAGCCGACAATGGAACGAGGCGGCTGCGGCCTCTCGCTGTCCTGGCGAGGCAGAGCGGTGCAGCGAACCGATGGTGCATGCCAGGTGAGGGCCAGGGGAGCGCATCATTGTGCATGGTGTTGCTAGCCGCATGCCAGCCTCGACACCAAGGGCGGCGCGACATGGATGGTGCAGCGGTGTGGGTGAAGGTGCAGAAGCAAAGATGCGCTGGCAGCAGAGGGCTCATTGCCGCCCCACCCTGCCTGCCCGTCTGCCTGCCGTAGCCCGCCTCGGCCCCTACTCCTCCACCACGACACAGCAACCCAGACTCGCTCCCACGCCCGCCCTCCGTTGTGCGATAATGTTGCCCTGCGCCCACCACTTGTCCATATCCAGCGATTGGGCGCAAAGATGGCCAGGCTGCGGTCGGCGCGGAACAAGCCCGTCGTGCTCTCGTCCGACTCCGAGCAGAGCGAGTCCCTTTCACCGCCTCCCGGCACTCGCAAGGGGCGCGCACTAACAAGCATCCCCTCTGCCTCGCATGCACACCGTCAGACGACGAGGCCGACCCGGCCACGCACACGTGCTGCCTCTCCAGATCCATCCGAGCACTCCACCACTACTAATAACAAGTCGCCTGCAAAATCCCCTGCCAAGCCAAGGCCTGTCTACAAGCCTATAACGTCCTTCTTCACCACCGTCGCCCGCTCCCACTCCTCCCAGCCCACGCCCAGCCCGGAGAAGCCGGCTGCGTCGGTCGACGACTTTGACGACATTTTCGATTCCGACTATGACGAGGATCAAGCAAAGCCAGCCAAGGTATCCAATGCGCTTCCTCTGCGCAAACGGCCCATTGCCGCAACAGCGCCAACGGACCATGGCCCAAATGTGATTGCACGCCAAAAGTTCCTGCGAACAGCAACCGGAGCCCGGAGCACGCCTCCTCCATCGTCATCCTCCCAGCCAGCACGGCGGGATGCCGAAGATGGCCGGCCATGGACCGAAAAGTTTGGCCCTGTATCCCTTGATGAGCTTGCCGTGCACAAGAAGAAAGTTGCACATGTCCGCACATGGCTGACTGATGTCCTGGCTGGCAAATCGCGTAAAAGACTGCTCCTGCTCAAAGGCCCCGCTGGCAGCGGAAAGACGACCACCATGGCCCTGCTATCCAAAGAATTGGACATAGACATGCACGAGTGGAAGAATCCCACTGGTGCCATGTCGACTTCCGATAGTCTTGTCTCCATCACCGCTCAGTTTGAAGACTTTGTGGCGAGAACTGGCACCTTTGGAAGTCTGACCTTTGACACGCAAGTGTCAGCCACCCAGACGGCTTCGCCCGCCACTCAAACTGGTAGGAAACAGCAGCTGGTCCTAGTAGAGGAGTTTCCCAATACATTTACACGTACTTCTTCGGCCGTCCAGTCTTTCCGCTCTTCTGTCCTCAAGTATCTCGCTGCAAATACACAGTCAGCCACTGCTTTCTTCTCAAGTCAAGCCGATCCTACACACTCTGTGACACCAATCGTTATGATCATTTCCGAGACATTGTTATCCACCAACACGGCGGCAGCGGATAGCTTTACCGCCCATCGTCTCCTGGGTCCTGAGATTCTGACCCATCCTGGAGTGAGCGTTGTCGAGTTTAATCCAATTGCACCCACATACATGACGAAGGCGCTGGACACGATCATCCTCAAAGAGGCCACGAGGTCAGGCAGAAAAAAGACCCTGAGTCCACAGGCTATCCAGCGCCTGGCTGAACTTGGTGATATTCGGAGCGCAATCTCATCGCTCGAATTCCTGTGTCTACGTGGCGACGATGCCGAGGGCTGGGGCGCCAAGGTCAATTTCACAAAGAAGAAGACGGTCAAAGATACCACCATGACCAAAACTGAACAAGAGTCACTCGAGATGGTGACACAACGGGAGAGCACTCTGGGTATTTTTCACTCGGTAGGCAAAGTTGTTTACAATAAGCGTATCCCAGAAGATCCCAAAGTACCACTTGCGCACCCACCAAACTGGTTTCCCGAACGACGAAGACCAAAAGCTTCCGAGATCAACGTCGATGCTCTTATCGATGAACTAGGAACCGATACGCAGACCTTTGTTGCAGCATTACATGAGAATTATGTTCTATCTTGTGGAGGTGCAGACAGTGAAGAAACCATGGACTCGATTGAAGGGTGTATAGACGCTCTCTCTGACGCCGATCTTCTTTCTCCAGATCGTTTTGGCGCTGGGGGTGGTCGCAGAAATATCCAAGGAACAAGTGCAGACAACCTGCGCCAAGATGAAATGTGCTTCCAAACGAGCGTACGAGGTCTGTTGTATAACCTACCACATCCCGTAAAGCGAATGGCCCCCCCTCCAGGCGTCATGGGACTCAAAACAAAGGGGCAGGGATCGAGTGGCGGCATGCCCAAAGGCAATGCATTCGTCATGTACTACCCAGCATCGCTGCGTATATGGAAACAGCAAGAAGAAATTGGCGGCTTATTGGATATGTGGGTGTCGCGCGCGCAACACGGCGAACTTTTTTCAATTGCGTCAGGCGCACCAAAAGGAGCGGTTCCCAGTGGAGGTGTACACACATGGAGAAGGAACGGTCCATCGTCACAACAAGCGTCGACGCAAGGCTCAAACCCTACCGGTGACGATGCATCAGCCCCACTCATCCTTGGAAGCGGTGGTTCAGCTCGCTACGAGATGCTCCTCGAGCGCCTCCCTTATCTAGTCACTATCCTCCACAAATCCCGCATGCCATCTCCATCAACGGCTGCCACAGTACGCGAGATGCGCAAAATCACGGCCTTTACCGGAGGTGCTCCATCCGGCGGTGACGACGACGACGACGACGAATTAGAAGACGAGCTTGACCCCGGCGAACAGGAGCAGTGGACTACGGACAAACCCGCCGCAGAAACGCCCAAGAAGAAGAAAAGAGCAAGGTTTGAGACCAAAGCCCAAGAGCCCGAATCGGCGATACCGGGGCTTTTGGACAAGAGTGCGGGTCTAGTGTTGAGTGATGATGATATCGAGGACTGATGATGACGGGGTGTAGTGAGATTTGGGGAAGGGCATATAGTGTCTAATGTTAACCTCTTCTAAAACTGCCAATATGCATATGGAAAATATACCAATTGGTGTTTATAATTAATCATGCAATGCAGATTTAGATGCAAAGTATATTGAGATCAACATTGTAATGCAACGTCTTCTACATCCCCAGATTTACAGCCTTCTTTCCTCAACCTTTTGGAAACTTTTTTTTCAACTCGAGTTACTTACTCTCTCCATGGCTTCTTTCCCACCCCCCTATCATTCCCAGTTGGGTTATCACTCAGCCGCGTGAATCTACCCACTCCCATGTTGACTTGTTTTTTTTATTTTCTTTCTTGCTGCTGTCTTGCTTTTTTTTCCTTTGTCATTCCACAGATCGATCCTATTCATTTCCATGTTCCTTTTTTTCGGGACTTGTACTTCTATTTCAAGCGGAGGCTGGGTTAGGTTGGGTTGGGGGTGGGGTGNTGGGTGGGCGCTTACTTAGACCACACGACCAGACTTTATTTTCGTCGATTGGTACGTACTCTGAGTGCAACTGCGACTGTGCTTGGAACAAAACAAAGTGTTGTCCCCCCCCCTCCTCCCCGCGGAAATTTTGTAAGCATTGTGGGGTGTGTATGTGCGGAGATCATGATGGACAAATTTTGTTTCTGCAAGCAGTATATGTGTGTTTATGCATGGTGTATTGCGTCATCAATCAATGTTCTGCATAAAGGAAAGAAGCAGGGATGCTGTTTGGTAGGGTAGACAAAGGAAAAAAAACATCACAAAGGCAAATCAAAAATAGTAACAAGATGGATGAATGGATTGATATTGCTTCAGGGGGAGTTCAAGACCCCACAAAGAGAGTGTCTAAAAAAGAACAACATCGTAAAATGGTATCTAACAAGAAGCGAAATGGGTGGTTTGGTCGTAAAATCGTCATTTGCATGTCCTGGGCAAGAGGGGAACCGCCAGCATGCGTATGCTTGTCTTCGCGCGAGAGAGAGAGAGAAAGGAAAGACTTTTTCTCATGTTTAAGTGGAGGCGTAGACTTGGCCAGCAGCGGAGAGGCTGCCACCATCGGCAGTGATGAGGAACTGGTTGCCGTCGCTGGGGGCAGCCATGTGGTAAGCGTAGCGCTCGATCCAAGGCTGGGCGTCGAGCCAGGGAAGGACGTCCTTGAGGAACTCGTCGGCGTTGCCCTCGGTGACACCAAACTCGGTGACCCAGACGGGCAGGTTGAAGGTGTTGTGGAACTTGTTGAGGTAGTCCTTGAAGTCTTGGGGCTTGGCCCAGGCGTAGTAGTGGGCGACGACGAAGTCAATCTTGCAGCCGGTGCAGCCGTCCATGAAGGACTTGAGCCAGTTGATGCCCTTGCCGGGCTCGTTGCCGTTGGTCACGGCGGGGGAGCCGATGCGGAGGCCCTCGTTGGCAAGGGGCTGGATGAGTTTGCGGTGCGTGTCGATGGCAGTGCCAACGTCCATGTTGGAACCGCCTCCACCGACTTGGTCGGGCTCGTTGAAGCTGAGGATATGGGAGACCTTGTAGTTCTTGCGGGCGTTGGCAACATTGTTGACCCAGGTTGAGGCGCACCATTCCTGGTTGGAGTGGAGCAGAGGAACGTATTCTAGGTCGGGGGCTTCACCATCGATCACAGCCTCCCAGTCATACATCCAGGAGATCTTGGAGGACTGGGCCATCATGCGAGCCCACTGGGAGCCGGCAACGCCATTGTGCTGCTTGGGAAAGGCAATACCACGTTTGGCTGTAGCGCGGGCCTGAAGAGGGGCGGCCTCAGTGAGAGCGGACAGGCCAGCAAGGGCCATGATGAAGGTCGAGGTAAGCATTTTTGAAGGAGTGTGATACCTGACGGGTCCAAGAAGGAATGTGGGGTGCTAGCAAGAGCGTGGATAGACAAAAATGTCAAAAAAGAGAGACTGAGTTGCTGGAGTGCTGAGCTGGGAAGGGAATATCATGAACTGGGGGCCATGTCGATACTTATACCAAGGTAGCGAAATGAGAATAGGACAAAGAAGCCTGGACAAAGCCTCGAAAGGGCCCACCACGGATGCGGGTAAGCAACACATGGCACAAGCTATGTTTGCCCAGATACAGTGTTTCATCCAAGACTTGGTGCCGACTCGGGAAGAGAGAAGGTCCACACGTGCGATAAGATTATGGATCACCTTTCCCGCACGCCCCGTCAGCCCGGCGTCACGGCGTCGGCTGTGGGGTCTAGCCATTCGTCAATCACAATAGGGCTACGATGGCTAAGACTTTGTGGAAATTGCATTTTGGCACAGTCGTCGAATCACGACAGCAACGGTGCACTGTTACCAGGCAGGTTGCTGGAGCCACGTAGAGTTCCGCGGCATATGCACGAAGAGAAAGAAAAAAAAGGCTTTTCACCACCTCTGTGGGTTTCGCCCGGGGAAGAAGACGTTAAGAGGGGCCTAACGCAGGAACCCTTGTCTAGATCAGTGGTGTGCCTACGCAGGTACGGCCGCAGCAAACGATGTTTGGTAATGGATTCCGGCGTGGAAAAGATTCTGGCTGGCCGTCTAGCCCACACAGCGTACCTTAGCGATGTCTACCAGTCCGTTTCAGGAAGTACTTTGTCCGGCAAAACCAACGTCCCGTCGCTGATCCTACCATCTTTTGAGTTTGCGAGCCCACCATTACGCCTTACCACGCACGCTGTCATCCAAACCATGGTTTTAGTCCCGGGCCCCGAACTACCACTACAGCTGCCAGGCACCCATTTTTTCCCTTCTGCACCCACTGTGGCCAGGCATCACGAAAATCCATTCTGTGTTGTGAAAATTACCTATGCAATCTCAAATGCTAATCTGTACATACCAAACCTGAATATATGAGATCAGTTTTACCAAGACTGCCTTGCCCGGGCGGTGATCTCCCGCTAAACTTCAGTCGACTCGGGCGCTTGAGAGGGGATTCGGGCGACAGCTCAGCGGCACGCCTTCTTTCCCTTCCGGTGTTTACGTGGCGCTCTCAACATAGCTGAAGGATGTCTTTCCCTGCCCGCCATATCGACGTCTGAGTGCTTGAGTGATATCACTGTGGGGGGTTGGGATGGTCGAGAACTTTGGACGGTGTTAATGCGTGGTGACTTGGCTTTGCGTATCGTATTACTGGCGGACTTACGTCTTCTCTCTTGGGCCGCGTACTTGGCACACGAGTGGCGAGCGTCGGACTCCAAGGCGCTGCTGTCAGGTACACCCTTTGCCGATCTACACACCCTCGGCCCGTTTCACACCAAACCTCTTTGCTTCTTTGTTCATTTCGAGGCGCTTGCGTTGTTCGTACCTCCACTACCCGGCGCCTAGAAGCGCCTGACTCGTTCTTTTACCAAGTACCAATACCGTCGACTTAGGATACAGCACCAGAGACACTCGGTCCCACCAAAGTTTGCGCTGGGGCTAGAAGGCACCGGAATTTTGGGGACACGCCCAGACGGTTTTTCGCCAAAGGGGCCACTCGCGCCTCCACTACCGACGCCATTTTCTTGGTAGAAAAGCTATGTTGCACTAATGCAACTTGGCCGAATTCCCCTGAGGATGTTTTGCTGGGCATGATAGGAAGGTCGGGGCGAGCGGATACGTAGATACACGTCTCGAAAGAGAAGGACCAAAGCAATCCCATGCGGTATAGGTCAGGAACGAGGTGGCGATGCACTGCAACGCCAGCTGAGGGAAGCACAGGGGGGGGGGGGGGGGGGGGGGGCAATTGTAAGCCATCTGCTTATCTGCAGAGTACGGTACGCCTTTTCTGGTGGTATACCTGTACATATGTACTTTGGGTAGAGAGCAGAGCACGTGCTCCCCAGTGCACCTTGGCCCCTACTTCGATATATTCCATTTACGCATGTTCTGCGTTTAATTGAGCTATGCAGCACGCATGTACGACCTCTCCTTTGATCTTTCCAAGCCCGAGTTGAGAAACAAGAGCATGTCCGGGCTACCGGGGCGGTGTCAAACATACGCGTCTTCCAAGTCGCGTCATGACGACGATCCAAGCACTATAGCACGAAACTGCTATTATCTATACGACAATTTTTGGCACCACTCAAACTCCACTGCCAATGCATACGACGCTGGGTACGTGCTGTCTTGCTGTGCGATGCGGTCAGTGACTCGTACGCTGTATTGCGAGTATTTAGGCGAGTCTGCATCGCGTCTGTTTTCAAAAGACAACTTTAGAGCTTGGAAAAAACAAAATGTTGATGACTACATGGGTCTGTTGGGATGGCGTGTTGGTTGCCAAGTCGTGCTCTTGTCAGGCCATAATCTTGACCGTTTTGAGCATTCACAACCTAGACGAGACGGCTGCGGATTATTATCCGAATTCTTCTCCCACTGCCGCTCACCATTATGTTCAAACACGGCAGATTCTAGAACTGCAATACAATTTGTGGTGCAGTAGGCGTGCGTCACTTGACCAAATATAAAACGGGTATTTATAGGACTTAGCCCCCAAGCACTCGGCGCTTAAGATCGATGGGTTGGAATCCAATACTACATCTATCGTCTTATTCTTTTAATAGTAAAAAAAGGTAGAGGCCCAAGTACAGCAAGCGCAATCCTGATAAATAATACTTCCCTCACAAGCACACATGCTTTCACCGTGCACATCCTCCCATCTCATGTACTCGACAGCCATAACCTCAAAGTGAAGAAGCCCACACTAATGCGAAGCATTGGCTTCATAATATCGTCGTTTACGTACTATAGATATCTTGGTCGGCTTTCGCGTTTGATTCCTGTATCGTTTGAGTATCTATAGTGGTGTAGATACAAAAGGCAGACTTTAAGGGATAGACGGTAATCAGAGAAGGAGAAAATCTCAAGGAAGCTTTTCTAACACTGAATCTCAGAAACTCGTAGATGTATTACCTAAAAGGAAAGATCAAAACTCTCTTAGAATAGGATTTGGAAGGATATCTTGACTCTTCATCTTGAAGGGAGGAAGGTATTGAGCGTTTTTCTTCTTCGTTTTCCACACATCCCATATCTCGAAGGAAAGACGTTGCAAGTCTTGCTGTACAGCAATGTCTCATTTTGTTTCAGTGAAGTCGTATTGTATGGTCACTACATAGGTAGTTAGATAGAAAAGGCTTTCTCAGTACATCAACAACAAATTGATATCATCTACTACCGCATTGGTAGATAAGACGTAAGATATGGACATGAAAATTAGACCCGGATTTGAAGGGATATTATTATTTTAACAAGGTTTTGGAGGTTTGATGATACAAAGGAGTGCCTTGTCACTGATGAGTGCAAAATTTGAGAGGATCAGAATGCCAGGGGATTGGCCTAGGCTACCTTGTTCAAGGTGTCGGGCGCAGCCACGTGACAGCCACGGCTACGCTGTAGAGCTGATAGTTTAATATAGACAACAGGAGAAGCTAGAGGCAGGCTAAACGAGTTGTTTTATACTGGTTTTCGAGTTGTGCGGCGCCGTAGTTGGTGAGATGAGTTTAGTCTGTTAGTAATGTTAGTAATAGTAATAGGGTGATAGGGTGATAGCCGTGCACATGTTGCCACATATCAAAGTTCTTGACTCAAGATAATTTTGCGGGGTTAATTGACTGTGCAGGATGAGAGTGATAGCGAGGAATCAATTACAGGCAACAACGTGATGTAAATGTTGATACAAAAGCAAGGTGTGCTTTGTAGAGAGGAGAAGGTGAATGACAAAATAAACTATAACCAAGAAACACAGATAGTTTTTTTAAATGGAAATTACAACAAGGAGAAATTAATCACAAAAGACTACTCATGCATTATATAATGATACACATACTATTTTACCGTGCCTTCTATTGGTATACGGAACAAAATCAACAACAGAAAAAAAACACATCAAGCATGAATATTTCATTTCACATCTACACAGCATGTAATGTACTCGCCAATAATACCGCTTGAACGCTTTACGCCAAAACAGACACCACCCATGCAAAGATATCCAAATATGTAGCGCTCAAATCCCCCCAATCCAGTACGCCCAGTAACAATGCACACAAACAACCCAGGAAACGCGCTCACGGTCCGCCCCGCGGAGGCTGGTAATGCTCGACATAGTTCCAAGGAACCACCGACATTTGGACGTATCGGCCTTGCTTGGGGTCGTACACGGCGCTCACGTTGAGCGTCAAGCGGGCGCGGTCACCGTAGATTTCTATGAGCGCTCTTACTATGAATGCGCCACGGGGAGGTTGCAGTACGATGGGCCTATAGGTTTTGGCAAAGTCGGCGCGGAATTGAGTAAGGTCTAGCGTCATGCTTTTTGGGTCCGGGAGATCGAAGCCTATGCTCGCGGGGCCGTCAACGGGGGCTGGGGAGGGCGAGGCGCCCGGTCGCTGGGTATCATTTGCAGAGGCCGAAAAGGTGTTTGGGGCTATGCTTGTTGATTCGCCGGTGGGCTGGCGGTTTGTGGAGATGCGTTGGAAGAGTTCCTGGACGGTTTCTGATTTTGATTCTTGGTCCCAGCCCATGTAGATTTTGAAGTTCTTCCATGCCTTTTCTGCTTTTCTTGTGGTATCTTTGTATAAGGCATCCGTGGCTTCTTTGGGATACAGCACCCTCTCCAGGCGCCGGTGATGGGCATCTTCAACCGGGCGTGTCGCCTTGCGCCATTGCAGATTCTCAGTGAGCTCGATGCCTGGGCGCTCGTACTCAACTGGCGGACCGTTTGGGAACTGGATCTCCACCCATGACATGCCCCTTGAGGTATCAATCTTGCCAAGGCGGGAAGTGTATAGTGTCTTCTTCTCGGCATTGTTGCGCACCATGCTAACCAACTCATCTATGGTGTTGTTAGTGACGAGCGATTATTTCTTCGCCAAGCCGTACTTACTACGTATCTTACTCGCTCTTGCACGGTCGTTGGCTATCTCCTTGAACGTCTTCCACTCTGCATCCGAACCTTTATAGAATGTCCTTGGCCGTGGTCGCGAGAAGCCCGTGGGTAAGAATAGAATGGCGTCATCGTCCTCTTCTTCTTCACCGTCTTCCTCGGAGCCAGCCACTTCCCACCCGTCTTTTCTGCCTTGTTCTTGTACCTCTTCAACCTCGATTTCTAAGCCCAAGTACTGGACAAAGCCGTAGGCTGCGGCAGTGACTGCGACTGTGCCAACGAGACGTCTGCAAGATGAATCAGCATGTGACGGGAGTGGACTTGTGAGACTGCTCACGTCTTGCTAAAGAAAGGCCGGCGTATACGCACTCGCTGGATTATGATGCTGTCGTGGCCATGGCGGGCGGCCGATCGCACTATGTGAGAATGAGGGACCCTGTTCAAGAGGGAGAAGTTGCGCCGAAGCATCAGTGGCCTGGACATGGCAAGCAGAGATTATGAGAGACGTGAGTGACAAGAAGCGACATGAAGGCGCAATGTAGACTCAAAAAATGCAGGTCAAGTTTGCTGGACAAAGAATAGATTGCATGTTGTGGACAAATGGTGCTCTGGCTATAGGCGTGGGCGATAGGCTCGGAGGCGTCCAAGGCAAGTTCCGAGATCTGGGTCTCAGCTTCCCCGGCGACTGCATCATCGCCGCCGCAGCAACGAATCTCTCCAACCCCAACCCATCACCCACGATGAAGCTATCCGGGGCCTTTCTCGCCTCATCACTGTCCTGCGCTGTGCTTGCAGCTCGGCCAACCGTCAGCCCAGAGACTGCGCGTCTTATCATCGCCCAGCGCCTGGGCCTGTCGCGATTCCACTCACTCGAGCATGCAGATGCTGACACCATTCACCACATCAACACGTACGGAGGAAAGCGACAGCCGCTGTTTGGAGCAGATGACGCAGACGTCTCCAAAGCGCATCTGCTAGTCTGGGCAGAGGATGTCGACCAGGATGAACCAACAGGTGGGCAGAGGCAACGGCCAACACGGCCACGGAAAGCTGCCGGCTAACTCGAGCTTGCAGTCATCATCAACGACGGATCAGATCGCACACTAGACTTTTCGATATCCGGCGCGCCCTCTGCATCGGACAACGACCGCCTGATCCACGACTTTATAACACAGGCCGAGTCGCTGCCAGAACACCCAGACCCCCAGCAGCGAACATACAAGTCCAACTTTGAGATTGAATCAGCGCTGCCTCCAAAGAGCAAATCAAAGGCCTACAATGGCTACCTCAACATGTGGCGCATCGACGAGAGCTCCAAGATGACGACCGAGGAGCTCGCCCAGGTGCTGAGCAACGTCAACAAAAAGGCAGAGGAGGCTGGTTTCTCCACAACCGTAGTCATGATGCCGCGCTCGTCCAAGTCCAAGTCCAAGCGTGCCGCCAACCCCTGGGGCATCTACGACGTCCCTGCCATGGAGGCGCGCCGCCAAAACCCAGAAGCCGTTCTCTCTGCCACCCCCTCAACCTCAAAGGTTCCCGTTCTCGAGGACTTCTCTACCATCGCCCAGGCCGACAGCAGCAAGAATAAGAAGGGACCCGTGCGCGGCATCCTCCCCGTCTGCTTCAAGTCGCTGGACGCTTGCCAGAGCCAGACTCACAACTGCTCCAGCCACGGCGAGTGCACGCTCCTCCACAAGGGCCGCGGATCTGGATCCAACCAAGAGACGGTCGACTGCTACGGATGTGCCTGCAAAGCCACAGTTGAGCATGTGGGCGAAGACAAGGGCATGGAATCCAAGAAGAAGGTGACTTACTGGGGAGGCCCCGCCTGCCAGAAGAAGGACATCTCTGTTCAGTTCTGGCTATTTGTCGGCAGTGGTGTTATCCTGGCCTTCCTCGTCTCGGCTGGTATTGGCATGCTGTACTCAATGGGTGCTGAGGAGCTTCCCAGCGTCATTGGTGCCGGTGTTAGCGGACCCACCGCGAGGAAGTAGAAGAATGTAGTGCAAGAGATGAAGTGTAAGGAATGAAATTAGTAAGGAATAAAGTGTAAGAGACGGAGGTGTAAGTCGACGAGGATAGATACAGAGCAAGAGAGGGAGGCTGAGCTGTATAAGTTTTGGCTTTTATACATGGTGTATCAGAACCATTGGTTAGGATGGCAGAGCGTAGTAGCATGTACTCTATGGGATCATTGGCGTTTGGTAGCAGTGCAATCAATATTTGAGCAAGTTAAAAAAAATCATGGTATTCACGCCTATGATGCCGTTGTGTGCAATCATCTAAACAATGCGCCACCCGAATGCTGAGAAACGCCAAAAGCCTCATCCCTCTTCCCCCGTCCCTAGAAATGTACTCGAATTGGAGCTTGAAGTATACCATGACATGCAAGGCACTCAGTTCTTGCTCTTCTCCACCATTACACCGTCCTCCTCGCTCTTCGCTTTCTCGTCATCCAATTCCTTCATGAACTCTGACTGGATACCAGCCCGACGGTTCTCCCACCACTCCTTCTCGGCGGGGGCCTTTGACTCAATCTCGGCCAGACGCTCGCGGATGTGGTTGTTCTGGGCCATTTCAGAAGCGGATTGGAAGATGGTCTGGCCCCAGTTTGGTGCGAATGCATTGGCCTGCAAATCGTCAGTTCATATGCAGCATGTCGCAAATGCGTTGCGCAAACTCACCTCGTTGACAACGTCTCTGAGCTCTTCTTCTATTTCCTTCTCAGCGCGCTGGAACCTCTGCCACAAATCATCGCCCACACTACCCCTCTGCAACAGGACCTGGAGCGCCTGCTTCGCATTCCTAATCTGGACAATTCGGTGGATATCTTCTGTTGCCCGGCGCAGCAGGGCGGCCTTTAGGATGCTGTCTGGCACCTTGGGGTCTTCCATGTGCAGAAGGGAGAGGTAGACATTGCGCTGGAGGTGGGTGGGGAACCAGGGTTCGAGAGACGCAGCGTTGGCAGCCTTGCGCTTGCGATATAGGTTTGTGAAGACACCGAAAGAGCCAGCCAGTATACCAATGTAGGCAAAGGGTACAGTGAGCATAAGCCAGTCGACGGCGTCAAAGGGCCACATTTTGGATCGTGGGCGTCAGATGAGGGCCACGGGAATTACTATTGGTGTTGTAGAGAAGTGTTTGGTTGGCGGGACACGTTGCAGGTGACGGCAAATGTTTGTGCAAAAGTGCTAAAGGAGCGGCGGTGTCCTCAGAAGTGAGATCCAGTTGGGCAGGAGGGTGAAGGCCAGGTAGTTGTGGGATGCGCTCGCCGTATGGTCAGTTATCGATAGAATATCTGGCCAGTTCGCAACTCGGCAAAGGCCCGGGTGGTTTCGCGCTACAACCAGGGTGTGCGCTAACGTCGCGCGCGTCATTCTGCCGCCTTCGACGCCCTCCTAGTCACTGTGTGTGTAATCAGTCTACAACCACCGTTCATTACATCCCGACTCTGTTTGTATTTACGCCTCTCCTTCCTCCTGCAACCTCTACCGCTTCTATTCCTTGGCCTGTTCCACCCCCCGACGCATTTGTCCCTCCCCTCAAAACTGATAGTGTCCCGCCATGATACTTAGGTTCGTTAGCAAAGAGGGCCAATTCAGATTGACGGTGCAGCCCGAAGATACTTTCCCAGACATTCTCCCACAAATCGCCGAGAAGCTTCCCAAGAATATCGATCTCCAGAGCCTCAGCGTCAGCAACCGTCCGCAAGGTGGTGATGCGAGGAAATTCGTTGATCTCAAAGGCGTGAGCTTCAAGCAAGTGAACCTGTCGTAAGTAGCTTGGCCAAGCTTGATGTCGCCGCTCACGTCTCTTCAGGAACGGCGCACAGCTCTTTCTATCCTTTGAAGAGCAATCTACACCATCGAATGGTCATGCTGCAATTGCCTCTGGTGGCGCGCGACTAAATGGCAAACCCGTCCAACCCTCCGAAACCGCCTCTGTGCCCCTCGACGCCCCCACGCAGATCATAAAGAAGCCATGGGAAGTGATCAGGCAGTCTCCGCTTGACGATCGGCTCGACAAGCAAGATGGCAAGATTCCCCGCAAACGCGACGTCCGCATGTGTACCCACGGACCTAAGGGCATGTGCGACTACTGCATGCCGCTGGAACCCTACTCGCCCGAGTACCTTGCTGAAAAGAAGATCAAGCATCTTTCCTTCCATTCGTATCTGCGCAAAGTCAATTCGGCAAAAAACAGACCGGAGCTCGGAAGTTCTTACATCCCACCTCTGACCGAACCCTACTACCGCGTACGACCCGACTGTCCATCGGGACACAAGCCATTCCCGGAGGGCATCTGTACGAAGTGCATGCCCAGCGCCATTTCGCTCAAGCCGCAAGAATATCGCATGGTGGACCACGTCGAGTTTGCATCTATACAGGTTGTCGACGATTTGATCAACTTCTGGAGGCAAACTGGATGTCAGCGACTGGGTTTCTTATACGGCAGATATGAGGAGTACACCGAGGTGCCACTAGGGACAAAGGCTGTGGTTGAGACCATCTACGAGCCTCCACAGATCAATGAAGTAGACGGGATATCGTTGGGTGATTGGGATAACGAACAGGTTATTGACGACATCGCCGCACAGTGCGGGCTACAGCGAGTCGGTGTCATCTTTACTGATCTTCTCGACGCCGACAAGGGTGATGGCTCCGTCATCTGCAAGCGACATATAGATTCCTATTATCTGTCTTCACTTGAGGTTTGCTTCGCGGCACGGTATCAGGCAAAGTACCCTCGGCCGTCAAAATGGAGCGACACCGGTCGACATGGATCTAACTTTGTAACATGTGTTATTAGCGGTGACGACCAAGGTCAGATTGGCATCTCATCTTATCAGGTATCAAACGATGCTGTTGAGATGGTGCGCGCCGACATCATCGAGCCTTCGGCGGAACCCAAGGTCATGCTTGTCCAGTCAGAAGAAGACAACGAGGCCCTCAACCGCACGCGATATATCCCTGAAGTTTTCTACCGAAAGATCAACGAGCACGGCGCAAACGTACAAGAAATTGCTAAACCTGACTTTCCAGTTGAGTATCTGCTTCTTACACTTACTCATGGTTTTCCTACTCAGCCAAATCCTCTCTTTACTGGCGGCAAGTTTCCAATTGAAAACCGTGAAGCCATGGGCGAAATGCCCGAGATTACGCATCTTAGCAAGGCTCTCAATGCCAAGGCAAATGGTCTCGCTCTCAACACTGCCAGTGGCCTGAAAGCGATTTCGAATTTTCATATGCTCTGCTTCATCCACAACCTGGGCATCCTATCAAAGGTAAATTGCCTCCTGAATTCTGCCAGTGTTTACTAATTTGGTGAAAAGGACGAAGAATCGCTTCTGTTCAAGGTTGCATCGACGCACGATACGTCAGAAGGCTCAGCACTCCAGCACACGCCAGGCTGGGCAACTCTTCTAACCATTCTCAAAGAAAGTGGTGAGCGCCCCCCGAAACGTTCCTATCAGTCTCCCTCTCCCTCTCAATCAGCCAGGAGGGGGGCTGCAGCACCTCTTCCCCTGGAGCACCAGCGTACAATGCGACAGCCCTCCTATGGCTCAGATTCCGATTCAGTACAATTGGCTAAGCGGGTCAAGGGGGTTAGGCTGAATGGGAAGTAGATTAGATGTTTCTAGTCTGGCTCCTGAGGCGTGACCCTTAACACCATAGGTACGAATTTCGACCGATGATGGGCAGCGTAGCAGAGCGCCAGTTATGATGGCATGTGGGCTTGATGAACGAATGGATTACGCCAAGATGAGCGAGGCGTGCATGAGATAAGCACTGAGCTGTAATGTTCAGCTTTAGATCCAATAATTCAAGAAATACTTTGATCTTCCAAACGACATGACATTCTATGTGCAGTGATGGTGACGTGATTGGTGAGCCACCGCACGGTTGGCAATAACGTGCTTTCGCGAGTTCGCGTCGACGCGTCGCACTTTAGCTCTCCAACTTCGCCCAACTTCAACGCAGCCACTACAAGCGACAATGGCCGATTTCTTCAACATCAAGGCTCGGCAACAGGCCGCTGCGCAAGCGAGTTCGTCCAAAGCCCCTACAACAAAGCAAGAGCCAAATCGCTTGCAACCATGGGTAGAGAAATAGTACACAACCCCACGTAACAACCTCATAGACTCCAGGCTAACAACCATTGCAGCCGACCCAAGACGCTGTCCGAAGTTACAGCCCAGGATAACACTATTCAAGTCCTCTCCCGCACAATGCAGTCCTCCAACCTCCCCCACATGCTGTTCTACGGCCCCCCAGGAACAGGAAAAACCTCGACTATCCTCGCCCTTGCTAAAGAACTTTACGGACCCGAACTCATGAAGTCGCGCGTGCTGGAACTGAACGCATCCGACGAGCGTGGTATCAGCATCGTACGACAAAAAGTCAAAGACTTTGCCCGCCAACAACTTAGCGTAGCACCAACATACAACGTCATGGTAGAAGACAAGAGCGGGACAGGAGAAGGAGGCATGGTACGATACCGGGACAAGTACCCGTGCCCACCCTTCAAGATCATCGTCCTCGACGAGGCAGACAGCATGACGCAAGACGCACAATCCGCGCTCCGCCGCACAATGGAAACATACAGCCGCATGACGCGCTTCTGCCTCGTCTGCAACTACGTCACCCGCATCATCGACCCCCTCGCCTCCCGCTGCTCTAAATTCCGCTTCAAAAGTCTCGACCAGGGCAATGCCGTCAAGCGCGTTAGCGACATCGCTGCGCTTGAGAATGTGCGGCTGGACGACGGTGTAGCAGAGGAACTAGTGCGTGTAGCGGATGGCGATTTACGAAAGGCAATCACATTCTTACAATCTGCTGCACGGCTTGTTGGCGCTATACAATCTCAAGGCGGCAGCAACAAAAAAGGAAAAAAGCGTACGGCGGTCCCGGAGGATGACGAGATGGACATTGATTCAAGCAACACGGCGACAACACCGTCTGTGTCCCTCCCCACTATTGCCGAAATCGCAGGCGTTTTACCCCCCGATACCCTCTCTACTTTCACATCTGCGCTCTTCCCTAAGTCTTCAGCACAAAAGTCGATACGGTACCATGAGATTGCCAAGGTAGTCGAGAATATGGTTGCAGAGGGGTGGAGTGCAGCGCAGACGGTTGGACAGTTGTACGAGCAGCTTATGTTTGATGAGCGGGTAGAGGATGTGAAGAAAGTGCGGCTTGCAGCAGTGTTTAGTGAGACGGATAAGAGGCTGGTGGATGGGAGTGATGAGCATCTTGCCGTCCTGGATTTGGGGGTTAGGGTTGCTGGGGTATTATGTTTGTGAGAGGCTATATGATGATTACATGAAAAGTGTAAAGTGTGGAAAATGAAAAAAAAAACTTGATTCATAGTAATCGTGATGCAGATGGATATCTCCACTGGGGGTATTTTAATATACACACGCTTCGAAAAAAAAAGAACACTAATCGTTGTCTCCCTCTGTCGCTTCCTTGAAAACGCACAACCACAAGGGCTTTCACCTGCTTACTCTTTCCGCATACACATACAGCAGTTACTAACAAAAAAGAGAAGAAATAAGAAGGGCATAAAGACATTAGACTACATTACTCGCCTACCGATCACGCGTCAACACGCAAATAACGACGGCTCGTCATTGACTCATCCTCTAAGCAAACAAACAGAATCCCAGCGCAACACTAACATACGCCACAGCTGCCAGCAAGCCTGTATGCACGGTATTTCTCAGGCCAGCAGAAAAGAGCGCAGACGGGGTTGGCGAGGCGGATGTCGTAGTGACTGTAGTGCTACTGTTGGAAGAGGCAGAAGGGAAAGTTGAGACGGTGGAGGAGAAAAGGGGGATTGTTGGTGTGGAGGTGGATGGGAGAGAAGACTGTGGCTGGTTAGTTGGATGCCCAAAAAAGAATTCAGAACAGAGGAGAGGTTTTTTTGGTAGGGATGGCCGTGTACGGTAGTAGACTTGAAAGGGATATGTGTTGTTTATGTTTACTTACCGATGAAACCTGCACAGAGGCAGATGTAACTGCAGCGGCAGATACAAACGCAGATGATGATGATGCCTCCTCGCTCACCAGACTGCTTGTCAAAACCGGAGTCGAAGTTGGTGTCGAAGACGCTTGGCTAACAACCTCACTGCTGGTACTGGTACGCTCTACAGACGCAGTAGTAGTTGCAGGGTAAAACTGAGGCAACAGGCTCTTGACGTCATCAGGCAGGTTCTTGTACCAATCTGGCTCAGAAGTACCCGTCGGCATGGGAATGCTGGTGCCAGATGGCATGGCGGTCTTGAGCACTGACAGTATGGAGAACTGTGTGGGGTTCATGTCGGCAGGGTCTATGGCACGGTCCAGAAGCATATTGGCGGCATTGTTATCCTCAAGTAAGTGGAATCGAGATGCCATGGCTGTGCTGGCGACGAAGAAGAGGGTTGTTAGTCTCATTTTGCCAGTGTTTGTCGGTGTTTTGCTATCTGATGTAATGTAGATGTTGGGTATCGTGGAGAGAATAAAACGGGTGCGCTGCTTGCAGGGTTGCGTGGGTAGTCGAGAGATGAACCTAATGAGCGGCTTGATCTAAAGGACCGGATATTAAAGAATGGCTGCTGAAGTGTCGCGGGTGAGAGGTTGTGGGTGAGCCAGGGGGTTTTAATAAACAAGCAAACGGCCAGCGCGACCAAAACGACCAAGTGAACGAGAGGCTGGCCAACTTGACGGGTCTGTGCAGAAGCTTTTGATCGCCCTAGGATCTCTGCTCGAAGAAAAACTCGTCTGGTTCGTGGATAGTATCGTGAGATGAGGGCTAAGGATGGACCGAGAGAATATCCGCGCCAATTATTGTGTGTCCTGCACACCGTACCTCAGATCCAATTTCCAGTCGCTCAAAACAAGAGTCGTGAATTGTAAGCCTGCTTGGAAGAGGTACAACGTCGAGGATTTGTGAAATGGTGATTGGAATGTGCACAAGTACACGTTTCCAGTATGTGTAACGCTGTGAGATGATCGTACGCGGTAATAGAGTGGTATAAGTTTGTGCGCGCTGCCAATGAGTAAAGAGTGACAAGACTCTGCGTGACAAATTCTGCAATCTGAATGCCCGAGTGTGCAACAAAAGACACTTGGGGGTAAAAAAATCAGTTGGCGCTTATTTTGACAGGTATTTGCGCATGAATGTAAAAGCGAAGGATTGCAGGGAGTCAAGGGTAAAGTAAAGCGAAAGCCAGAACCAAAACACTCCCATGTGAGGATGATACAGACATTATGTATTTCTTTCGGCCGTAGAACCATGGCACGGTCTATGGATATCATAAACATTCTGCGTCGCAGCCTTAGCGTTGAACGAGGGAAACGTGCCGTGTTCATATTCTTCTCCCCGCGTTCACGACGCGGTAAGTCATTGTTGGCGCAACGGGTTTGCGCTACGGCACACCAAACCTGCGGCCGTTGAAACAGGACGGAGGTTTCGGGATATTCTGGCCAATCCAAGTACTTCGTGCCTGAGGTGATATGCGCCTTTTGAGGGAAATTACATAGACCCTGAAAGTAGTAGCGCCATCGTGAGGAGGGGAGAGATTTTCAAGTCTTCGGTTTGAGATTCGATGGTCCTGGTGATGGAAGAACAGGCACCAACAACGAGGATTTTTGAAACCAGTTGCGACACCACCGCATGTCTTTCCTACAATTGGATCATCGTGAGATAGTCTTTTGTTGTCTGCGACCTTGTGAAGGCGCTCGTTTATCCGGATGTGTATGTGTGCGTGTTACCAGAGCCGGACCGTGGTATTCCAATTCGTCGCAGATGGGGGTGCAACAACAAGTTTTTGAAGGCTCGGGGGGACGGCGGTTTCGGAATGGCGGAGAAATCCTCTGTGAAATGAGCCTGAGTTCTCGGATTCGTCGCCTTCTGCTTTGGGACTCTATGCCTCGCTTCACCGCTCTCCGACGCACTCATTCCCAAGCCATCGTCGGTTTGTTTTTCCGCCCATCTTCTATCGTCCGTTGAGCCATCGGGGTGCTTTGACAATGTCTTTGCTCATGTACTGACTTACATATTTCCCGTGTGGTTGGTGTGAGACAGGCGATTTTAGTGTTTCCCGAGGGGCGCTACTATCCTGAAGGGGATCATCCCAAAGGGGATAACGCCAAAGGGGGTAAGCCTCGGTAGGCAGTACGACAAGGCTTACACATGCTTTTGGAATGAATGTGACAGCGTACATTTGCGGAGTAAAGGAGATGCATGCCTAAATGGCTGTCCTCGGGAATCGTGGTGTGTAGGTGGGGTTGGGGCGGTATAAGGATACCGACGACGGCTACCCCTCAGATGACATGCAGCTTCCTACGTCGATAACTCAACATAATTAAAGATAAATCATCAGCCTTTCGCACTTTTAAGGAATCTATAAAGTCAGCAAAACACGGTACCAGCAAACATGGCGTCTCCCGCGAACATTGACATCAAGAACCTCGTTGGACGATGGAGTATGGTAAGACTCTGGCGAATGCCATGATTACCAAATGAGCGATGCTTCAACAGATCCTCTAACGTTACCTTGCAGAACAAGTCTGAGTCTGATGCCTTCGATCCAGTTCTCTCCCTCCAGGGCATCGGCTGGCTCACACGAAAGGCCATTGATGCAGCAACCCTGACCCAATACTTGAACCAAAGCACCGTTGATGGTTCAGACGGTGCGCCTACCACGCACATTAAAATTGACCAGGTCCTCACCGGTGGCCTCAAGGGTTCGCCCGAAAAACGAACCCTGGACTGGACCTACCGCGATCACACCGACTTTATCTTCGGCGTCCTCAAAGGCCGTTCCCGCTACTCCACTCTCGAGAAATTCCGGGAAGAGTCCAGGGAAACAGGTGCGACGGATGAAGATATCAAGTACATGACTGAGGGGTGGTTGGAGGAAACCCAACAAGGAGATATTGTAGAATGCTTCGTGTCCAATGCGGCGAGCAAGTGGATTTCATGGAACGTTTGGGGCTTCGCTGAATCTGGCGGGCAGAGGAAGTTGATCAAGAAGTTTGCTGTTAGGAAGATTGATACGGGTGCGGTTGTGAGGGTGACGATGGTTTACGATTACCTTGGTCCATTGGAGAAGTAGTCCGCATAAAGTATCGTCTACGAGTCAGCTCGTCCTCATTGAGCTTATCTGCTGAATCTTAAAGTTGTCCTTTTCTTCATCGTATCCGTGTTTGAAAAATCCAATCTGGTAGTCATATCCCTCGAGTCCACAACTGTCGCACAGAATGTATTGCCCATGGTCGTGCGACTCTGCACAACGTTAGGATACAACTCAACGTTTTGGTCAGATCTTCGTGCAGTAAGGCTCATGTATGGGCTCGCACATATTTTCTTGTTCTTTGCACCTGATTGAGATGCAGTGACGTAGTGCACGTCGCTCATGTCAGGCTTAAATACGCAGTAGGCTTGCTACTGAAGGGACCACAAAATCAACAACATCTCTGGACTCGTCCTTTTGCATATTCAGACGGCAACTGGCAGCTTCAAGTTGCGACATGATTGTCTCAAGCATCACGGCCAATCTCTTCCTCGGCCTTGTTGTCTTGACTTCAGCGATATTGATCGTGATCATGATTTACCTGCTCATTCGATTCGTCAATCGGCACAAGAGAAAAGTTCATCCTCGACAAGATTTCGAGCCGAGGCTTCTCGACCCCGAAAGTGGTCGCGAGTCTCGTCTATCGCATCGAATTTCCCGACAGCAAACACAGCAAGAGCAGCGAGAGGACCTACTGCAGCACTACTCATCAGTGTCACGGCCACCATCTATCGAACTTCTTCCCGAGATCAAGACTAGTTCTAGTGATGACAGAGCAAGTGAGTGGTTGGAACAGGGTGTCACCGACAAGGGGTTCAATGTGGTTGACGGGGACCTTGGAGAAAAGAAGCCCGAGATGCGACAAATGGCGGTCATGAAACCAAAGAAACACCTGAGATGGAAATGTACAGACGAAAACACGAACAGTCATGACGGAGTGGCGGGGGTAGCTGGAGATACAAAAGGTGACGGAACAGCATGTACGGAATACCGACCGGAGAAGGCACTCGATGTTGCTGTTTGATTTGGGATATACGGGCAACAATCGCATTGCTGGTTCATCGGCTAGTTTTGAGCCTCCATTGTTTTCGCCGAGCATGCGAATGTTCTCAGTGTCGTTGTCCTTAGATGGTTCTATGTCAGCATTCTATTAACACACTTTTATGCATCGGTTGCTCAGTCAGTGGTCTCGCAAAAACTGATATCATGCCATCGAGGACTGTCAAATTCTATGTGGCCTAATGGTTTACCTAGCACATCGTCGAGCAGAGATATTCAATATGTTTAATGGTAAGACAAGGTCAATGAGTAGCTGCATAGAGCAGCTCACGTAGTTGTTGTTTTTATGCCTGTTCCGCCGGCTAAGGCGTAAGCCTCGCCGACATGAGCAACGAATGCTGATCAGCAGAGATGCAGATACAGGGGTGAAAGACGTTGCGGTATGAACATGGAGGAGCGGATACCCTTGGCCGTTTTGGGGCTAGCGCCGAAGCTCGGGCCGACGCAGCGACTAAATTTCATGACTCTCGTAAACAACGACTGTTTGGGCTTGATGCCTTGAGCTATTTCTCCTCTAGTTCACTGTTACGGTGACTCTCTCTCTCTCTGCATCCAAGGGCCAGAACTCTCTATCAACGCGCCCATTTCCGCATACGTAATCGCAGCTGCGTACCAAAACCGCGCCGCCGTCTGCCCCACTCGCTTCCCTCCGCCGCGAACACCCCACCGCACGAGCACACGAACGCCTCTATTCGCGTCACCCAGCTGCAAACATGTCGGGCGATTTGGATATCGACTTCACGCGCCGGAACAAGAAACCGCGCCCGCTTTCTGAGCACGAGAAAGAGAAGCTGGATGAGTTCGTTGACGCGATCCACTACTCGGCAAGGTCGGTTGTTTGTTCAAGGAGCGGTCAGCGCGGGCTGTACTGACGCTGGCGATAGGTACTCGGACGACGTTTACGAATATCGCCATGTGCAACTGCCTAAGCAGATGCTGAAGGCGATTCCCAAGGACTACTTTGATGGCGCACGAGGCACACTGAAGCTGCTATGGGAAGAGGAATGGAGGGCACTGGGAATCACTCAGGTACGGGCACCGACTGAATATGCATACCTCTTGCTGACATGAAGACAGAGTTTGGGATGGGAACACTATGAGGTACATGAGCCAGAGCCGCATATTTTGCTCTTCAAGTACGTTTTGTTCTTTGTGTGTATACGGCAGAGCTCAGACTGACTGAATACAGGCGACCTATCAACTACCAGCCGCCCATGCACTGAAGAAGAGGATGCCTCTGCGCGGCTTCCGGCTTTCTTCACGTCAAACACGACACGCGCAACACTTTGCGCAGACTATGACGGCACTCGGCATAGCCTTTTTTTTCCTTGGGATACCTTCCTGCTTGTTTGTCGATTTAGAGCGAGAGACGCTAGATATAACGACGATATGATCATGGCAAAACACATGATGCGCTACATGGCCTTCATACGAGGCGTGTATTTTGGGATTCCATTATGCGAGGGGGGGTTGGGGGGGTGAACGAGTGCCCAGACTTTGTACATATGATTATCACAGGAGCTTCGCCGAGGGCATGAGCAATCAGCAGATTCCGTGAAATTAGTGCACGGGTAGTGACTGTTGTAGTAAGAAAATCAACAACTGATCCCATTTTGCACTGCATTCCCTTGTCCGCTAGCGATGTCAAGAAGTTTGGCTTTGAGACTGGTGTTTCTGAGGGAAGATGGGCCACACAGACCAATCATGATGATGAAAGCCACGAACATGATGAGTATTTCACACGTTGTGCCCCTCTCAAAAAAGTGTAGTTAGAGTAGAAAAAAATTAGTACCTCAGGTGTGACGGTGAAGACTCATGGCCAGTCACAGAGCTTTGAGCTTTTGTTGCTGATTGGCCTAGTAATGGTAATCATACTCACGTGTGCTTTCGCCCAACGTTGAAATTTCATTTTCGTTATCAAAATCCCTCGAACATTTAGAAGTAGTATAGTGGATGTTTGAAAAAGAAAAGATGTACCTTTTATCAGAGATGATGGAAAAAAAAGAAGATGGTTTTGAATGGAGGGGAAAAAAGAACTTTGCTTCATTAACAAAGCAGAGCCATGCCCACCATTACACATAGATATTCGGATGTTTCTCTCACAAGATCATAGAGTAATGTATAAAATGAGCATTTCTGTGCCCGATTTTTGCTTTGCTTACCACAAAGTCAACTTATGTGTTTATATTGTAGTGGAAATAACCCCAAAAAAAGTTCGAGAAGGAAAATCGACATGAAAGCCGCTGGGAGCAGCTAAGACACTGTGGCTCTTGTAAAATTGTATGGTGCTAATGCTAGTAGGTGTTGTAAGAAGATTGATTGATTTTCATCGATATTGGTAAGTAGTATATTGCCATGTCAGCATTGGCGTGGGGTCCCCAAATGCCGCGGCAAATCTTGTAAACTTTAAAGCTTAAACGGGCGAAAAACAAGTCCCCCAGACCCCAGATCCCAGCTCTGAAAATCAATCTGACAAGAGGGAGGGATGAGACGCAAAGGATATCCCAGATTTTAAGGATTGGCGATGCGCCTTGTCAAAACAACCTTATAGCCACATCTCAATAAATGCAGTGCGCGCGCTACAGTTCCCGTGTTTCAGAAGGTGTCGTCAGCGAGACAATGAGAAATGTTCAGTGGCTATGCAGTAGCTGTATTGCTATCACAAGTATGTAGTCTCACACCGCCGGATGGTACAACATGGCGTGAAGAGGCGGCTTGTCGGTGTAGGTTGCTGATGTAAGTAAGTACAAGTAAACATGGCTGGTTGATGCTTGATAGACGGCAGCTGCGACAATAGACGCATAAGAAGACGGGCGCAGAGCAGGTAACATGGAGGATTGGATCCGGAGAATAGCGGCCCGACTTGCCAAACGATGCCATTGGGCTAAGCATAGTTCGCTCGCGTAGTATGCTGTCACATGCAGATCTGCGATCAAAGATCTCGTAATCGTAACCATGGAACGCTGATGTGTCGGAAAATTGACGCGGTTGGGCGGAAGTAGACATCCTTTGGGGTGGACCAGTGAGGGAGCGCGGAGTCTGAGCGGGCGGAGCAGAGGTCAAGGGTGGTTACGGGCCTTTGGAGGGTGATAACGACTAAGGGCAAGGTTCCGTTGTTGAGAAATTGGAACACGGCCTTTAGCGAGGCCAGATAGGGCAACGCAGAGAGTGCAGCTGGGAGACCCACCTGTCGGTTTGCAACGAACATGACCCAAGTCTGAGGTCGCTGGCAGCGCAAGGCTAAAGGCTGGAGCTTTTACGTACACAAGCGTAGATCTCGACCGTCCGACCCCAGCAGGCGAGGGCAATTGACCGCGGCTCGGGAGCGACATGGGCTCGAATGGGGCTCCAGAGGAGCAGACGAGGCGGGTATGACATCACCGGGAAAAGAGAGGGACGGGAGATGGGATTGGCGGAGCATTCCGGAGGCTGCGCATTGCCGGTGGTCGGAGGGCAAGACGTTTTGCCTGAAGGGCGAGCGGTGAGGGTATCGTGGGCAGGGTTGGAGCGGAGCAGACATGGCAACCAAGGGACCCACTCGCATGTAAGTATTTCTAGGGCACTGTGGAGAAGACGGTCGCGCGACACGTGCGGAGGGCGCCTAGAGTACGCTGGCACAAGTGCAAGCACAAGCCATGCAGAAGGGTGATTGGCAGGTCGGAGGGGAATCCTGGCATAGTCAGCGCGCGGGAGAGTGACATGGAATTGCTGCTGCTGCTGCTGCTGCTGCAACGGGGTGCGGTATACGTAAGCAGGCCCTTGGGAGGCAGCCAGCCGTTACGTACACGGATGCAGCGCCTGAGATGTGCAGGTGGCGAGGCGGGATCGGGGCAGAACGGTCGGTTGCAAAGGGACAGGCAGAGCAACGGGCAATGATGTCGTGGGCAGGCGGGCGCGGTGATGGGCAGTTGGGTGCGTCGAGTCGTGGGTGACGTGCATATGCCAATGGCCCCACGGATGGAGTCTGGTAACGAGTACATAAGAGCAACTGGCCCAGACAGGCCAGCTGGGGCGTGAGTAGTGCAGCGCAGCAGATAAGCTGCTGGGCTGGAGTAATGGAAAGATCAAACGACGCAGGTGGGGGAGCGGTCGTGCGCCGGCCATTGGCCCGTCGTGCCTTCCTTATCTCTCGGCTGTACGTAAGATAGCACAAAGCAGGGACGGCGCTATGCCCCATCCGGCCTACTGCCCTGCCCATCCGTGCGCGGTCCATGTCCAAACCCATCCCGAGCACATGTCTGGCACAAAAGACAGTGCCGGCGCTCTCTCCAAGGCAAAAACATATACATACATACATACATACATACACACTTGCAAACACACAAACACCCATTCACCCATCGTCTACCCTCCCCGACCATGCACCCCCCCTCTCCCCGCTCCACCTCCTAGCTCTCCGCCCCGGCACCAGCCCAGGCTTCCCACGCCGCTCCCGCCCCGCCGACGTCGCTCCATCTTCTACACTGTAGTAGTTGGCCACACGTTCAATGACGGCGCGAACCATCAGCCACCTCATTCTCCTCACAGCCGTCACCGGCAATCTGGGCCCTTGAGCAGCCGCTCTCCTGTCCCTCTCCCGCCCTCCGCTGCATTGCCCAAATATATTTGCTCTTCTTGGCATAGCCCAGTATCCAAAGTGACCTCGCCATCTCCCACGCGATAAGACCTGCCACATACCCTGCTCCGATAGCAAGATACTTGCATCCTGATCCGCAGTCTGGCCAACGGCCCATAGCCTCTCATAGCCTTATCGCCCCCTTCCACGCCCGCTGCCCAGCCATGACGGCCGTAGCAATGCAGCAGCCTGCCATGGGCCCACGCCCAGTCGTCTCCATAGCACCAGCTCGCCCTCGCACAGTACACAAGTCGCCCTCGACCAAGGAGAACCTGACCAAGCCAACCTCGTCCAACGGCCCCGTCTCCAACATCCGCTCGCGGAGAGAACGCCCCTGTGACGCCTGCAGACGGAGGAAGAGTCGCTGTGTGATACACGAGGGCGCCGCCCTGTGTGTCCTGTGCGAGTTCCACAAGCAGGACTGTACCTTTGTCCAAAGTCCTCTGCCCCGCAAGAGAAAAGTCGTCGACGGCGAGAAAAAGGATTCGCCCAGCAACACAAAGAAGAGGTATGTCTAGGCTCCTCCACTGCCCCGCGTTCGACAAAATGTCCGATGGCTTGCTTGGCCAAGGAGCAACCACTACGGACATATACCACGCCAAACTGTCACGTGCTCACGTGCCATGCCCTCTACCTGCCTTTTCCTCCCCACCCCCTCGTGTGCTTTTGTATCCATTGCCTTTTTGAATATTCGTTTTCGGCTTGTGCTTTACCCCCAGCTAGATGGCATGACTGATACCGTCTGCTAGATCCGTCGACTCGGAACCTCCTCCATTGGCACTGTCGACCCCCACCATCACAGCAACGGCGCCAAGCCCCCCATTACAACCACAATCACCACCACAACCACAGTTGTCCCACGTGCAAAGTCTGCACCTACCTCAGCTTGGAGAGACGCTGGGCCTGCAACGGCGCCAGCACAGCAGATACATTGGTCTGAGTTCCCCTTTCGACTCTCTACTCATTGGCCTCTCCCAATTCGATACCCATAACGAATCTACTTTTGATCTCGGCACCCTTCGACGAGTAAACGATCATGAATGCTTCATCATGCTACCTGACGAGAACACGCAAGATTTTGCCGGCGAGTCCGAGGCACTGACTCAGGTCGAGCAGCTTGTGCACCCACATGGCCCTGCCTTGCTAGACCTGTACTTTCAAGTAGTACATCCAAACTACCCCATTATCCAAAAGCACCTTTTCGTCGAGCGCTATCGCAGTGGCGATCGGGGCTTCTCACCCGCCCTTCTAGCTGGAATGTACATTCTGGCCCTAAACTGGTGGTCCTTTAATCCCAAGCTCGCAAGCTATTCCAAACCCGATGCCGCTCGGCTGGAAGCGGTTGCAATGAAGGCATTGACATTGTCAATGGAGCGGCCTAAACTGTCAACTGTGCAGGCAGGTTTGTTGTTGCTTCAGCGTCCAGAAGCAGATTCATGGAGTCTGACTACGCAACTGGTCGCCGTTGGTCAAGAATTAGGCCTCCATCTTGACTGCTCCTCATGGTCGGTCCCTCTCTGGGAGCGTGGATTGAGGAAGCGCATCGCATGTGCATTGTATATGCAGGATAAATGGAGCTCATTGATCCACGGTCGCCCCTCACACATCTTCAATGCTAACTGGGCAGTCAAGCCCATCACTGAAGAAGACTTTATTGAAGAAGGAGACGGATACGAAACACGGCAAGAAGAGACTGAGGACGAAAAAGCAGATAGCCAGCGAGGACGAATACTGTTTGCCCAGATGATCGGACTTACCCAAATCATGGCAGAAGTCATGGACACATTTTACACCCAAACTGCCATTCAAGATTTCGCAAATGCAGGCAAAAAGTCCACTGAACTCATTCTGGCACGCGCCAAGCCTGTACAAATAAAGCTCCGCCAGTGGCACGAGAAGTTGCCTGCTGAAGTTAAGATGAACACACCGGACAAGGGCAAGCTCACGTCGACCGGCTATCTGCACCTCGCATACTTTGCGACAGAAATCACTTTGCATCGACGCATTGTGCAGTCTCTTGACTCGACCAACCCAGACTCTTACGGTCTTTTCATGTGCCGCAGTGCTGCCAAGACGCGATTGATTTCTGCCATGGACTTTGTCAACCGCCTTAAGCCAGAACATCTGCAGGCCTTCTGGTACTTTGCTTCCAAGGTCAACTTTACCCTCATCGGAACTTTTGGATCGCTGTTGTGGGCTACAGCACCCGCCAAAGAAGAGGCCGAGTTCTACAAGCTGAGGTTGTGCGAATACCGCTGGACCCTGTCCGTCTCTTCCAAGCGCGCCGACTTTCTCGATTACGCAGTCTCCATGCTGGACGCTAGCCGCGCCATGCTCAGCAACCTAGCAGAAAAACCAAGTCTGGCCGAGCAGATTAGCAACGCTGGTGTGCCCCCTGCAGCACCTCCGCGACAATACTCATCCTTCTCAAACATGGGGCCGCCACAGAGTTCCAATGGGTCGGGAAGGTATGAGCAGGAAGACATCGATATGGCCGACGGTGATGACCTTCGAAGAATGTCATCTGGTGAAAGCTTTGACGGGTTCCACGATGGCTCGCAGTATGGTAGTCGTCCGCATACGGCTGGCAACTCGCCTCGCTCTCAATGAGCAGGCTCTTGATAGGATTTGGTGGTTACGATATTGGAATGGTTTTGGTTATTGGGTGGCATATACTAGATTTGTTGGTTACGATTTTTAGCGATTCAGCGACATCTTTACTGTTGGATGGCAGGCGTTATGTACTGGTGGTGCGCGCAGATATACCACAAGGGCTTTCGCATATTGCGCGAAAATGGCGCCATATCGCGACACACAACGTCCGACACATGTGTGGTCGGCTCCATCAGCTTGCTTTTGTTTTGTGCAAAAATAGTTATGATCTCATGTTTCATGTTAGCGCAGGTCGCGCGCCTTTGGTACATCCAGTGGCTTTAGAGAATGAAGCATCGGTATTCTGTCTCTTTTGAGAGCAGCACAAGCAGTTTCAGCCCCGTAGTGAGTTGTAGTAGTGTCGCTACAAAAGAAAATAAGCACGAACAATTTGGAGAATTGCATGTGGTGTAATGACGCTGACATAATGCGGTGATATTATAGTGAACTGGGTTGAGCAGTGGCTGTGTGCATAACATTGAAGCTATTCAGAGAGACAGGGTCAGCTGCGACATGCCCGTGGTCCGTCGTTAACGCAGGCTACGGGAGTCGGGTGGGCCCGCGTGCCGCCTCCTCTTGCTCTGAACAAAAGCACTGCCCACGCCACGTCGGGAATAAGCACACCTATTCTCCCTCAGCCATTTACCGTTCATGGAAAGGAGCAGATGACCTGTTCATGCACATAGGCATACTCCATCTGAGAAGCAAGTGTCATGTTGTAACCAACAAACAAACAGTCACCATTGGCACAGTCGAGCGGCACACCTTCAACCCCTCACAACTCGTCACAATTTGTCATGTCAAAAGCCAGAAAAAGAAATGCCCCACCTCCACCTTTCGCTTGGAGCCAGAGAAATCTGAGCGACCCCTTTATCCAACCTCTCAGTTGAAGAAAGTGAGAAACACAAGAATGCAGGCAGCGGCATCGCCTTATGCAGCTGGTGGAAACATGTTGCTTGGCAGCCCGCCGTACTAGCTCTCAGCCGTAACATACGGGATGGGGCGTTGTCTTGGGCCATTTGGGGGCTAACCCTCAGCTTTCCGTCGATCTATCGCGGTGTGAGCTTTCTAGCGGATAGACAGCTGAAAGGAAGGATCACGCAGTCTGGTTGCCTTATTACCTTTCTCTCTTTTTTCCGCTATCTGGGGTTGCCCCTGAATGTTACAGTCGAATCCTTCTTTTGCTACGTTTGCATCCACTACAGCCTTGGTACGATTTTGGAATCGTCATACAAATACAGCAATAAACTTTGCTGTCCCCGGGCATAGCACCTCCACTCAAGTATCATTGCATCTTATTCCCTGCCTTTGACCCAATCTACCATGACCGACGACGACAGCAAGGCCTGGGGACGACGCCTAGTCATATGCTGCGACGGGACTTGGCAGTCGAGCGTCACTATCGAAACAAACGTCCCATCCAACGTCACTAAATTATGCCGCTTGATTGCCCGTGTTGGCTCAGATCGGAACAACCCCTCAAAAAAGTTTCACCAGATTGTCTACTATGATTCTGGAGTGGGAACAGGAAACCTCAGCTCTTCTGAAAGGAACCGACAAGGTGGTACGGGAGCTGGGTTAGCAGAGAACGTCATCGAAGCATACAACTTCATCGTGCAAAACTATGAGCCGGGTGATGAGATCTTCTGCTTTGGCTTCTCAAGAGGCGCCTACACTGCGCGTGCAGTTGCAGGACTCGTTTCCGACATTGGGGTCATAGCACCGATTAGCATGCAGTTCTTCGCGACACTATACAGCCTGTATCAGACAAATGATGAAGGGGTTGACTTTCGTGAAACACAAGCATGGAGGTGGTTCACTGAAGGTAAACTGAGCAAGAAGGGAGAAGAGATGAAGAAACAGGGTGTGGATGTTAAGGCAATTGGCCTGAACGATCTCAAGCTACTGGCAGAGGTGTGGGAAATTCGACCGCATGGAGAACTCGCCGTCAGTGAAGACAGCAGAAAGGTGAAAGTCGTCGGTGTTTGGGACACTGTTGGATCTTTGGGTATACCGGATATGATGGGCTTCAATCTAGCCTCTCAGAGAACGCAATACGGTTTCCATAATGTCAAGCTGACAGAGAGTAAGTCGCACAACTAGAAACATGAGATTGCTGCTAAGCACTCACTAGATATTGAACATGCATTTCAAGCACTGGCGCTAGATGAACGACGCAAAGCTTTCCGTCCGACTCTTTGGTATATTCCAAAGGATCTCGTCGACGATCCAAACCGGCCTACACCTGAACTCAAGCAGGTCTGGGTGCGTAGTCTAACACAGCGTATTTGAGATAACGAATAAGCTAACAGCGATCTGTTTAGTTCCCTGGTGTACACATCAATTGTGGTGGCGGCTCACAGGACGCTCTTGGGGAGATGAAGGGGGACTCAGAAAGTTCGTTCCCAATTTGGAACTGAGCTAATGAAAATGCTAACTATGCTTAGACATATCAACAGCGACTCTGTGCTGGATGCTTCAAGTCATCTCTCCTCACTTGACTATAGACCGACACGCCTTCTCAATGCATCTCAACCAGTACAAGCGTTGGCTATTCCGCATTCGCTACGCCTGCACTTATTACCACCCAAACACACTGCAAAAGATGTGGGACAGCGTCCCAAAACTGCCTTCCATTCCATTCCTGACCTCTCGTGGCAAGGAGCTAAAACTTCCGCGTGCTTCCTCACCACATGCACATGAGAAGTTCGACTTCAGCTGGGGCACTGGCCCCCTCGTTGACTCGTACACCACAATGTATTACCTGAATGGCATGCATGTACGCATGCCTGGTCATGAAAGCGGCGAAGAATATGACGAAAAGTCAAAAGTGCACACATGGACCAAATTAAGAGACTTGGGTGATACGAACGAGTACATTCACCCCATCACCTACTTTCGTAGTCTAATAAGGGGCTGGGAGTCGCACTCACCGCTGGCAAAGTCATGGAACAGGGAGGCTTGGAAAGAGCAAGGCAAGATGAGGTTCTGGTGGTACATGGATGGCGAGAAGGAAAAGTGCGCGCTGCCTGAGTGGGTAATTCTCCCAGATGAATCGAATGGCGATTACAATTTTGAAAGGAAGTGGTACAATGAATGCGAGAGTTCTGAGAAGACACTCGAAAAACTTGCCAGTATTGGAGAGTTTGGCAGGGAAAGGGACTTTTTGGAGGTGATGGATGAGAGGCTGGGATTGGCCGATGGCCGGCTCTCGAATGTGGCGCCATGAGCAGTGTCTATGCTTCGCTGACTTTTGGTAAACAGACTGAGAAAAGTGCATGTTCTATTTTTAGGAATCACTATTGTATATTTGGCGATACATAATAGTTTAAGGCCTCGATTGACATTTTCGGTCTCTACTACTACTTACTACACTTCGATCTTTCTAGCCCCTATTTCTTTCACGATGCACTCAACTGTGCTTGCCTCATCCGCATACAATTATGTATCCTCGAGGAATCTCCTTTGCGTTGTTTCCTCGGAGTGGCATGCTATCAAATCAATGCTGTATCAAAGGCAGGTACATTTGGCACCTGCACTTCCCTTCACCTGTCGTCCAGCAACGTCATCGGCCCCAAATATAAACCTCGAGACACCGCACTTCATTCCAAAACACCACTTCTTCCCCGAACTCTTCCATTCACCTTACATCCTCCACTTCAAGAACCACCTACAACTACCTCGAATCCTCATTGCTCACTATCAGTGAAATTCTCAGTGAGAAGATGTCTTCCGATATGAGCAGTCTTGCTACCAGCCAGCCAAGCCAATTTCAGGACCAACTGGAGGCCATATTGGACAAATTGAAGACTGATCCAAGTAGTATCACGGCTGATGACGCTCGTCTTCTGTCTGACAACTTCACTACACGTGATGAGAGAGCGGTGCGCATTATCTTCGCCGTCGAATATCTAGCTATTGCTAACAAGGTGTGCACCATCAGGAATCTAGTCACACTCAAACTCATCGCCGCTCGCTGTTGACGGCCGCCAAGGACCTGCATGGCGCCGTGGATGACAGCCCTGAGGAGGTCACTACAGAGGTCCTTCGCACCACACAGAGTATTGTTAGCAGTAAGTGTAGACACCTGTCACACCCCCCAAACATCTTTTGTCCATGAACAAGACTTCATTAGGCATCAAAAGTCTAGATCACACGCTGACACTGCCACAGAAATGCAGAAGGCTCTTGGCAACACAAACGTTCTCCATCCAGAAGTTGAAGACGAGCTCCAGGAGGAAATCGCCAGGATCGAGCCCAAGATTGCCCAAGGCACAGTGACAAAGGCTGAGGCTAATCGACTCCATTCGCTCGAGGCTCGTGCACATGGACACACCGAGAAGGGCGGTATCACTGCTGCCGCTCAGTCTGTTGTCGCGAGACGTGAGCGTCAGCTATCACCAAGTGGCGGCCCTGAGGCCTTACAGCCCTCGGACAGTGAACAGCCCCAAGGAAACAAAGGAAGCTTTACATCATCTGAACAGCAATCTCAGTATGAAAAGGAAGAAAACCTTCTGCAGGCAGCGGACGCCGTCAAGGATAAGATAGAGGAGGGCACTGTGACCAAAGCAGAGGCCAGCCATCTCCAATCCCTTGAATCTCGCGCTCACGGTGATACCGCCAAGGGAGGTATTGCTGCTACTGCTCAATCAACTACTGCAAGGCGCGAGTCGAATGCTAACGATGCGTGCCCTTGCGCTGACAGTAAGAATACCCTATCCTCCAAAGAGCAACCCTACCACAGCAAAGAAGAGAACCTTCGCCAAGTAGAGCTCCCAATCCGACTGAAGATTCAAGACGGCACCGTCATGGCAGCCGAAGCCAACAAGCTTCACTCGTGCGAGATGCGTGCTCATGGGCATACTGAGAAGGGCGGACTGGCCGCTACAGCACAGTCTGTTGTTGCCCGTCAGCAGAAAACTCTCAGTGACACTTCCAACTCGCCTTACCCCTCGGAAACGGATACTGAATCACGCAAGGAAGACATTAATGTCGGCAAGGAGCCCAAGAAGGTCGAGGGAGACTTGGGCGATGTGCTAAAAACAGAGAACGAGGCTCAGTGAGATCACTTCGAACAACGCAGCTTTGTTCGTTGTCATGCTTTTGAGAAGATCATCATGGGGGTGTTTCCGAGCATATATTTGAGGAGGAAGATTAATTCGTGAGGCGTGCAGAGAACGTTGAAGCCAGATGTGCTAAACAACAAGGACAATACGAGAATGTATGTTTAGATGAATCGGCCTAGTATCTTGCTAATGAACGGTACTTTCTTGAAACCAAATTCTTTCTTCTTCTGTTTTTTTTTTCTTAGGCTGCTGTCTTTGGTAACATTGGCCAACTCAATTCACTGCCTGTAGCAATCAAGTTGGTAGGTAGACGACAAACGCAAGATAACAAAAGGCATCATACAAGTGATGATGCTGGAGCATTGTCTATGGTATCGAAAATGCTACATAACCCATTGAGTATCAACGGGCAAAAGAAAAGGGAAGAAAAGGAATTAATGACAAAAAGTCCCAGAACCGCTGAATGCAAAACGGTCTCCCACAACCACCACCCCGACCCCAATTGACCAAACAAGAAAACACAAAGATCAGGAAGCAAGAAACTACTTGATCTCCGTCTTGCTCATCAAGTCAGCCAGATCATCAACCTTTGCATCCTTGTCCTGAGCCACATTACTCTCCTCAGCCCTCTTGTCATCAGCGATCTGTTTCGCCGCACGGTCCTGCGCCTCTCCCCTCTTCTCCTCCTCGTCGCTCTCGTCCTCGTCCTCCTCATCATCGCTCTCGAGCTCATCCAGCTCATCCAGACCCCAGTACTCGTCATCGTCGGCCTTCTCGCCAGACTCTTCCTTGCGAGCATCCAGGACCTCGCGCAGCTTATCGAGGCTGGGGTCTTCCTCGTCAAACTTGTTGCCGTTGATTTCGATGCGGCGGAGGAGGGGGAGGGCGGTGGAGGAAGCGGAGGCGAGGCCTGCGAGACCCTTTGCGTTGATTTCGTTGAACTGGAGGCGCAGGACTTCGACTTTTTTGTTTTTGCCCTTTTCCAGAGCGGCGGCGAGGGCGATGCCGCCGCGGCTGCTGAGAAGGCAGTCGCCTACGCCGAGTTCGCGGAGGTCGGTCCAGTTTACTACGGCCTGGCTGAGGGCTTTTGCGCCCATGGCAGTGAAGGTGTTGTCTTGGAGGTCGAGGGTGTCGAGCTTGGTCAGGTGTGCGAGCCCGTTGGTGATGAGGTGGGAGATGCCTTCCTGCCTGATACCGTTTTGTGTCATCTTGATCGTCTTGACGCCGCTGTTTGCTGCGTATGCCTTTGCCCATGCGGCCATGCTGCCGTTTTCTAGTCGATTGCGACCGCAGATGACGAGCTCCAGGTCTGGTACATCTTTGCCTTCCTTGCGCGCGGCTTCCTTCTTTGCGGCAAGTGCAGTCAGCGCATCAGCGACAAGCACACCAGCAGCTGGGCCGAGACCGTTGTTGTTCAGGTAGAGGTAGCGAAGTGGGGTATGTTGCGACAGAAAGTCGACGAGCGGGGCAACAGTGTTGAGGCCAAAGGCATTGTCGGAGAGATCAACGGTGTGGAGCTTTGGTAGCGTGAGGAGGGACGTGAGGAGGTGCGACAGCGCAGGTGGAATCTCAGAGAGAAGACGGGAGGTGAAGATGTCGGCGAGGTTTGCGACCTGTTGTTCATGTCAGTCAGTGCCCCTCAGTTGGCGACAACAAAGGGAAGTTTTCCATACCTGCAGATTCTTCTTGGTCTCCAGAACCTTGGCCAGCGCCTCGCTGGCTTCGATACCCAGAGTGTTTCCCAGAAACTTGACCTCTTCCACATCGTCGTTGATCTTCAACTCCTGAATGTGCGGCTCAATGTCCGCCGCTGTGGTGAGTTTCAGACCCTTGCCCTCGATAGAAAAGACCTTTGCGCCAGCCATAATTGTGTTTGAATGTCCCTTGTAGTCGTGGTAAAATGCAGTCTAGCAGGGGGCGAGTGAATAATATTCAACGGGCGACAAGGTCGTGTGAGTCGTGGGGCGCAATGTTTTGGCGGGCGTAGTGGGGGCTGATTTGCCTAGACCCGTTGAAATCTTGCAGGGGGGTTTGCCTCGTGGAGTGGCCGCCGCGGGAATGCGCGCCAAGACCAGGCCGATTGATGACACCATGCCCGGCGGGAACTTTTGGTGCGCAATTCCGATTGCTAAGCATCTTTCCATTCACCACCATCACCACACATACACGCATAAAACATGTCCTCAGGTATGCTTCCAAGAAGATGCAACTATAGCAGCGACGCCAATTAGCTGACACAAGGAATTACAGTACCACCCGCTGCCGCCAATATGGGCTCAGACCTCAAGACATCCGAAAAACCGAAAGTGAAGCCCTGCTGCGTCTGTACCGACCAGAAAGCGAAGCGCGACGAATGCATGCTGTTCTCCACCTCGAATGACGCGCAAAAGGAATGCGCAAACGTCATCGACGATTACAGACGATGCATGGCTGGTTATGGCTTCAAGATATAACGCCAATGGACTCTTGTGGCGACTGAGTTAATGAATGGGTGGGAAAACATGGACAACACGAGCATATGGGTGGCGTTGAATGTTAGACGGCATCGTTTCTTTGTTGTACAACATGTATCAACAGAATTGGAATCTTCGCTCCGAATATCTAGCCGGGGTATCTCAAAGAAATACTGAAATCCTCCCACAATCATTTTCCTTGTTCCTAGTTTGTTTTGCTTTTAGCCTTTCCGACCAATTCACTCTTGACCACAAGCCGCCACAGGCACCACAGGTAGCAAAGGCCGAACCCCCCCGTTCCGACAATTGCGTTTGCGACAACCCAGAGATCCGGTTTGTCTGCTGGCGGAGGGAAGAATGCCTCTACGATATGCCATCCGACCATAGCAATGTAGATGTTGATGTGCAACACTTTGCTAAAAATATCAAGTCCGCTTCGGCTGCCTTCATAATAGGCAGAGAATGAAACGGGAGGAAGACCTAAAAGATATGCCCATAGAAGTGAAACGACAAAGTACGGGACCCGCAGTTCGTCTCTCTTCAATAGCGGAAACATGGTCCACACACCGAGCATGTTTGCGAGTCCTACCCATGCGCGGGTACTTGGTAGTAGACCTTCATGTCCGCCAAGAAGTAGAGTCATAGGCAACAATGGCAACAAAACATTCTTCTCATGCACCTGGTATGAGCAGAGGAAGAAGCCCCATGAAACCGCTGCGAAGGCGAGCGGAAGAATTTGTTTCTTCGGCTTGAGGAAGATGATCAGACATGGCGGCAGAATGGCAACTGACGTCGCGAGGAGTGCCAGCCGTTGTAGTGACTGGATCGGATAGCGATGCAGCTTGTGAAAGGTATGGATGGTACACCAGATGTTGGCGACTTTGTCCTCGAATAGCCCTCGGGAAAAGGGAAAGATGCGATGGATGGACTGCCCCACCTCGAGAACATAAGGGTAGTACCAAGCCTCTCTGTTCCACGGTGTCATGAACCATTCCACATTTAGTAGCGGAGGTTGTGTTTGGAGGCCATGGTAGAAGCCAATGTAAACATCATGTGCCACACCTGCAAGAAATGGCAGATACAATATAGCAAAAGCAGCGACAGTAGTCAGCGCAATGGCAAAGAATCGTACAATGTTGATTTGCGGGAAAACGCAGATGCCCAGGAGATAGGCAAAGATGGCAGGCGCATAGAATAGCGCCATCTGCTTAAACCCAAGAGCACCAACAAAGAAGACACAACCCCAGAGAGGCCTCCCAGCGACCACGCTTGACAGTGTGGCAACAGCGAAGCCGAGCATAACGGTGTTGTATTGGAAGTGTCCATGGTCAATCAATATGGCTCCTGGCTGCATCAATATGGCTACCAATGCAATTGACGATTCCCAGATGTTGACACCTTCGAGGCGGGAGAATCGGCGGAGGAAGATGACGAGGGCGGGGACGTAGATGAGGTATTCGGACACAAGGACGGTGGCTCGCATGTAAATTTTGAGGGACGGATCATCGAGGCCGCGCGACTCGTGGAATTCGAACCATTTGGGGTTGATGGCAGAGCCGCTATGACAATCGTCAGTATAAGCGTTGCATGTCTAATGAACCAAACATACATGGCCCCCAGAAGCCAACTGTGGTATGCAGTCAGAGGCGGATAGTCTAGTCCCCACCACTGCAAGTCAAAAAAGTACCACAGTGAGACTGGGACGTGCTGCGTGATTTCCATCCAGTGGCGCTGCGCTTCAAAGTCTCCATGCATTGGCGGCGATTGATAGCCCGAATATCCCCAGAGACCAACGGCCCAGCGGAACAAGCCGACGGCCATGAGTATGAGGGGTATGGTGATCCATTGCGACACAGTGCCTTTTGCAGGCCACAGGAACGCGACAAGGGGAAAGGCTGGTTTCGTTGAGTTTGTGGATTGGTCGTGGTCGAGGGTCCCGTGTGCGACCTGAGCAAGAGAGCCTTCTTCGATCTTTCTCCGCCGCCGCGGTTTATGGACTGCTGGTGAAGCCATGATGACACTGCTTGAACAGGAGTTGCATGGCTTCATGGTTCGGACTCGTGGAAGAATGACTACGCCTTACCGTAGTGGTGCTAGCGTAGACCCGCGTAAGCTCTGGCAAACTGTGCAGGTCGTAGTCTCCAACGTCGAAGCAGGTGTGCAAGAGCACAACCGGGAGTGCCTGGTCTATTGAATACATTTGAATTGTCAATTGGATTACAGTCTATCGAGTTTGTATGAGCAACATGTGTGGAAGCAAAGTGCTCTGCGCATAGCCAAAACTGGCAATTTTGCTCTTAGAGCATGCGCATACTCATGCATGTGCATCTACACAGTAAAGAGCCGTGCTCGCAATATACAGCTCCACTCTCTGATATCTACGTCCGCGTATCCATGGCAAAAACAGCGTCCCTTGCTGGACCCTGAGCCGCTGCTTTGCTGCCAAATACTGCCTTGACCGTGGCCGGCCAAGTTCGCCAGTGGGGCGGTTTCCGTCTTGTGTAGCCACACAACGCGTCGCGGCGCAGAGCACGGGCCACCGTCTCCGCTGAAAAGTTCGGCGCTGATCTTTTCTGCGCCTCCAGGTATTAAATGCCAGCCTCTCCCACTCAAGCACTCACCGTCTATCACCAATCTTTCACCTTACTTTTACCTCGAACATTATCAGTTCGAGCATCATTTGAGGGCTTTCGCGAACTTCAAGTGGGCTACTGAGGGCAACATCCAGTACCAGATCATATCACAAGTCAGTGGGCAACGTTTGGCATTTCCTTGACACACATCTAGAGGGCACGTCTGTCGCTCGTCAGAGCACGGCAAGATCAACCAGAGGGCTTTGCGCTACTATGAGGGTTAATCTTCCGGCTTCTCGGCCATTGTGGGAACACGCTGCCTTGAAGCTCGGTTTTCTGTGGGCTCTTGTGGGCTTTCCGTGGGCTTGAGGGATATCCGCTTCGTGCGGTCTCGAGAGATACCAGTGGGCTTTTCGCAATTTGAGACAATCAGATCATGCAGGCTAGCGCATACGATGGCCTTTGGGCATCAGCGCCTGAGCGACGACACTATTGCAGTCGGCTCCTCTATTTTCTTTTTTTTCACCGCAATACCATTAATTTTTACGTCGCGCACGTCACAATACTGATACATTGTAGATCTAGTACACTACCATCAAAATGGGCAAGACCAAGGTCGCGGACAAGTCGTCCAAGAAGGACAAGAAGGCTGAGCTTTCAAGCATCAAGGCCGGTCGCGTTACCAAGCCTGCTGCGACTCCCAAGTCGAAGAGCAAGGACATTGCCAAGTCAGTTGCTTCCAACGTGAAGGACAAGAAGAAGTCGAAGAAGGCTCCTACCCCCGAGCCTGAATCTGATTCTTCGTCTGAGAGCGAGAGCGAGAGCGAGAGCGAGAGCGAGAGCGAAGAATCCGAGGAGAGCAGCAGCGAGGAGGAGGAGGTCACCAAGAAGACCGCCGCCAAAGCCAAAGCTGCTCCCAAGGCCGCTGCTAAGGCCGATTCCGATTCTGACTCTTCCGACAGCAGCGAGGAGGATAGCGACAGTGACAGCGACAGCAGCGAGGAGGAGAAACCCGCCCCCAAGGCTAAGGCCAACGGTGTCAAAACAAACGGTGCTGCTAAAGCCAAGGCTGAGTCCAGCGACTCTGAGAGCGACTCTGAATCTGAGTCCGACTCAGACAGCAGCGAGTCCAAGGACGAGAAGCCTGCTGCCAAGGCTGAGGTTAGTTTTTGCCTTTTTCCATGGTTTGATCATCTTTCACTAACGAATACAGGCTGCCTCTACCTCCGACTCTGACGACTCCTCTGACTCCGACGCCGACTCCGACTCTGATTCCTCCGAATCTGAAAGCGATGAGGCCGAGGCTCCCTCCAAGAAGCGCAAGGCTGAGGAGGTTGCCGAGCCTGTCATCAAGAAGACAAAGACTGATGAGCCCGTTGCTGAAGATGGTGTCAAGAACCTGTTTGTTGGCAACCTGAGCTGGAACATCGACGAGGACTGGCTCCGCCGCGAGTTCGAGAGCTTCGGTGAGATCGTTGGCTGCCGTGTCATCACCGACCGCGAGACTGGCCGTGCCAAGGGGTATGTTCTACAACAAATGCATGTCTTTCTGTCCGATCAAATACTAACCAACTTAGATTCGGCTACGTCGAGTTTGCCAAAGCTGCTGATGCCGCCAAGGCACAGAAGGACATGCACGAGTACGAGCTCGACGGTCGCCCATTGAACGTCGACTTCAGCACTCCCCGCCAAAAGCCTGACGCCAATGCCCGTGCCAACAAGTTTGGTGACAAGCGCAGCGCTCCCAGCAACACTCTCTTCATTGGCAACCTTTCATTCGACTGCACCAACGAGACCATCCAGGAGGTCTTTGCCGAGTACGGCAACGTCACTCGTGTCTCTCTGCCCACTGACCGCGACAGTGGCGCGCTCAAGGGCTTCGGATACGTTGACTTTGGCAGCCAAGAGGAGGCTACCGCTGCCCTCGAGGCTCTTCAGGGCCAGGACGTTGCAGGCCGCCCCCTTCGCGTCGACTTCGCCGCTCCCCGTGATGACAACGGTGGCGGTGGCCGCGGCGGCTTTGGAGGAGGTCGTGGCGGTGGTCGTGGCGGCCGCGGAGGCTTCGGCGACCGTGGTGGTCGTGGAGGTGGCCGTGGTGGCGGCGGCTTTGGCGGTCGTGGAGGCCGTGGCGGTGCTCGCGGAGGCGGCCGTGGTGGTTCATTCAACCGCGGTGGCTTTGGCGACTTCCAGGGCCAGAAGAAGTCTTTTGACTAAGCGTCTTGTAGACTTCTACGTCGCTCGTATGCATTCTGTGTATTTGCTTTGATCATCTCGAGGTGAGAGAGAGAGAGTAAGTAATGTGTGGAGGTTTTTGCCCGTACGATAACGATGTGTGACATGATTATCGCATGAGAGAGGTCCTATTTTTCACGCCCTTATGGGATGTGTATGGCGTTTACTGGGGGAGGGAATAAAAAGTTGCTTGGTTAGATGACTCGACCATTTGCTATATAGGTTGGGGTCGTGATAGCTTTAGTTATCTTTAGAGTATGAAACTCTTTGCTGAAACATGATTCATGCCTTTGTGTTCTATGCCATGATGTAATGTAGTTGAGACCGTGTGGTTAATGCGTTTATGGAGTGACAGTAACACAAACTGTCACTTGTGTCAGATCTCGTTCTGACAACATGTCACATGGAACTGTGGTACCGAGTTTGCTCTAGGTCTAGGTGGGATCAGGCACACGTACCACTCTCTTACTACTGCTTAGATGATCAAGAACTACACATTTGACAGGTTGTTGGCACAGAATATGACAAGAACTTTAATGAATTGTTGTACACACACACAGAGACACATCTCCTCCGAGTCAACTATCTAACGAGAGACATGACGAGTGATGTTTTAAAAAGAGAAAGAAAGACTGAGACAAAGAAACAAAGTTAGACTAACAAAACAAGCACGAAAAGAAGAAGAAGAAAAAAAGGAGGGGGTAACTACGCAAAAACAAAACAAGACAAAACAAAACAAAAGAGCCCCACGCCATGAACAAACTTGCATAGACGAAAAATGAATGAAAGTGAGTGAGCAACTCAAAAAAACACACAGACACAACACGCACAAAATAAAAGAGTGTGAATGGAGTTTGGAGTAAGCCATGGGCAAAAAAAAAACCCCCACTATACACTCTCGGCATCCGACTCAACATCGGTATTCTCTAGCTCGAATTGCTTCTCAGCATCAGCATCGAAGCACGTCTCCCAGCACAGGACTTCGCTTGGGAAGTCCTTCTCCACGCTAGGTCGCTCGCGCACGAACCAGGCGAGACCCGCACCGGCGATACCAAAGAGGGCGAGACAAGTCCAGAGGGCGAGGTTGGTAGTATCTACGCTAACGTCGTCGCTAAAGTAGTAGGTGGTGCCGCTGACGGCGACGGCAAAGGCCTTGAAGAGGCTTGCGACTTGCATCATGCCTACGACGGTACCGGCGGAGAAGGCGTCTGGGGTGGTGTTGAGGACGAGGAGGGAGACGACGACTACGGCGGCGTCGGTGAGGAGGTGTTTTGCGAAGATGGAGAAGGTGGAGATGATGGGGCCGAAGCCGGAGCAGGTGACGACGGCGGCGAGGAAAGGGGTGAGGATGTATGTTGCGGGGAGGAGGGCGGAGAGAGAGCGGTAGAGCTTGACGAGGCCGTGCTTGGAGGTTGCGTAGGGGACGGCGTAGAAGACGACGGCGCCGGCGAGGCCGCGTACGCCGAGGACGATGATGTTGAGCCATTCGCAGGGGAGGCCCATGCCGCCGGATTCGGTGCTGCTGTGGCCAAGGTGTGGCAGGACGACGTCAAAGGTGGAGGCGTGGAGAGATAGGAGGCAGAAGGAGGATAGGAGAACCATGAGGGAAGGGGCCTGGAGGAACTGGCTGATGGTGATGGGTTCTGGGCGAGCAAAGTCCACGAGCGTTACATTTGTGTCGTGCGAGTCACGGCGGAGGAAAGCTGCCCTCTCACAGTCGACGTCTGCAGTGTCTGCTGTGCGCTCGTTGTAGTGAGGCAGCGTCTCCTTGAGGAAAATGCTTGCCACAAGTGCGATGATGAACATGACGATTCCGCATGCCAGCTCAGAGCCCAGGGTGGGGTAGTTTTGCCATACCATGTTGTATGCTTGCAGACTTTCAGAGACCATGAGTTGCATAATTGGACCCATGGAACCACCGAGGGAAATGACGGGTAGGCGAGCAACGTTTTTTGCGCGTTCCTCTGCTGTCACACTCAAATCTCCAAGCATGGTTAAAGTTGTGCATACAATGGCCGAACTGACCATGCCTGCAATGAACCGGAAGATGGTGCAGCCAACAAGTGTGGTCGCAAATCCCATGGATAAGCAGCAGACAAACATGCTCCAGAGTCCAATGAGGGTCACACGCCGTCTGCCCATGCGATCCGCGAGGTAGCCCCAGAAGAGGCCTGTGGTTCCGCCGAATGCGTATGCGCAATCGAGTATGCTTCGCAGGTAGGATGAAGATAGAGTGCCACAGTAGTCGGAAGATGAGAGGAGCATTTGGAGTTGTGGCTGTAGGCTCGATGCCATGATGCTGCAGGTAAAGGTTAGTACTAGTCGAGTGAGATTTGGCGGCCCGTTACAAGTGAGCGCCAGTCGGAGAACACATACGCTTCAGCGAAGAAGACGAGGTAAACGAGCACCAGTTGCCCTCTTTGCGACTTATCCGCACCATCCGGTATATCTTGACTATCCATCTCTTGCTCGACTTCTTGTTCCTCCTCTTCGACCATAGACACCTTGTCATACTTGCCCAGATCCTTCACTGGGATCAGTGACCGCGTTCTCCTGTGGAAACCCAACATTTTTTTTCTGCAAAAGAAACCCAAACAGCCTATCCTGGAATATTCGAATGTGCGGTAGAACAGTGTACCGCGGAAGAGGGAGCGTAGGCAGGCACGACCAGCGTGAACCTGTGCGTATAGCGACTGCGACGGGTACAAAGGGACCCAAAGGAAATGGAGATAGAGATGGCGAGAGAGCGACGAGAATGGACTGTCAAGGGAGTGACAGGCTCACTGTGGAAGAGATAACAGAGACTGGACGCTCACGACGGCGACGGCGGCGGCGACGACACCAACATGGCGCGAGGGGTTTGAGCTTGATGGAGCGTTTGAAACAGAAGGAGTGGTGCGTCGCGCGCCCATTGGATCTCAGCCTCCCGCCCTAGGGCGCTAGCCACCACCTAGCGCCAAGCCGCTTAACGCGGTCCCATGTGATGTCAGATTGAGATGGTTCTCGCCCGTGAGCCACCCCTTTGGGACGTGCTCGGCCAGGCTGGGGTTCAAATAAAGGTCATGGTTTCGCTAATGGGCGCAGGATTCCATGCGCCCATCAGGGCTGTTAAATGCTTGCTTTGGCCAAGACTTGCACAGGGCCGTGAGAGAAGATGGGCTGGCCCAAGATAGAACAAGACTGGCAGAAACAATGGGCGTTAGACGGTCCGATGCGGAGAGCCTGGAGTCGAAGTGATCTTACCACCGAAGTGTTTGTAACAGGTTTATGGCAACGTGTAGTGCGGGAAGTGCGCTAGGTAGAACCAGAGGGGCGTGGCCTTGGGGTTTTGGTACCTTACCCGATGACATTCTTCCAGAGTGTTTGGAATGAAGTATATATATACGGGAAAGCCCAGTGAAAGACATCACAGAGTGGTTCGATGATGGTTTCATGGGCACACGCTGTTGAGTTACGCCGTTTCGTGATGAGAATTATAATCCATGTTCGGTGATTGGTCAGTCATAAAACGATACTGTGGTGGGATTGTGAACCTTCAAACTTGTTGACGCTTAAATTTGGTCTACACACTTCGCATCTATGTATGGCAAAAAAAAAACCCCTCGCCCTAGGGAAATGTGCTCTAGCACTGGCCGAGAATCATACATTACCTTTTATCGGATTCGGTTTGGGCTATTTAGACTCGGATTTAATGATTCGGAACCACAGCATCACATCACCAAGTCTGTTTCGCGAATTATGTGTAGATACATAGAGGACAAGTTTCTAGCGGCCATGCGGCCAAGTGTGCGGTGCAAGACGACAAGACGCACTAGACGGAGTATTCTAATTTCATAGAATGGCGAGGATGTCTATATCATATACAAGAAGGAAACAGTACAGGAAGGTGTGTATTTGGGGTAGGTTTGGATGTTGGTCTGGCATGAAAAAGAAAGTTAAAGGGGGATTACTAGAGCCGTCAGCAGATTGTGCTGCAATCATGGCGATACTAGAGCCGTATTGGCACATTTTCAACTTTGTCCTGGAGCACGAGCAACGGCCGAAGACACGGGCGCTGATTCCGTGGAGAAGATCGACGTCTTCGCCTCCTGTACTTGTCCATTTTCTCGAGGAACGAGTCGAAGCATCCGGGGCGGCTGCCTATCCACAATGGGTCTCACACCAACTCCGAAGAAGTAGTCACAAGTACAACCACTGCGACTATAGTATCCGGCTGTTTCTTGGCCTGTTCTTGCGCCGTCTTGGAGAGGTGAATGCAAAGATCGAGTGGTTTGCGGTGGATGCGAAGCCACTCATACTTTTCCACTGGTGCTACTATCCGCTTCAGCTGAAGGTACGGCATAGTGTCTTTAGCATCACGACTAAGTCGGGCGAAGAGTACATTGCAGACTTCACAATCGAACAGTTTGGCTACCCCAGCGCGATGTGGTTCATGGAGAAGAAGGAGTATGTTGCCAAGTGTACAACAGGGCAGGAGATGCTGCAGCCATGCGAGGAGGAGATTGCCAGTGCGATGAGAGGGGAGATTGAGATGACAGGCAAGGCGGAGGTGGTCAGAGAACTGTGTGGAAGGTCAGATTTCAGAAGGTGGGGGCAATGGGATGAGGACAGAAGGATAGCATGGTTGGAAGGGCTGGTGCAAAAAGGGCTGGAGAAGAGAGGGGAGGAGAGGGGGCGCCGTATGGATCGTGAGTGCAAGTGTAGATAGATAGGGTGTAGTTGGTGCGAGTGGCCTGTGTCCGCGGACGGCGGCGGTGCGCGTCTTTCTTGGTCCGTCCAAAGCGGTGCCAGCCTCGAAAGCGACAATGGTCGTCTGCCCTGCATGCGCAGCCCTAAACATGACCTGCAGGTTGACGACTGTTTCGGCCCCCACACGATACCGGTGAATAAGTCGAGGCAGGCGTGGGCCAATCAGGCGGTGCTGCATACGTATGTATGTAGTATGTCTGCGTGGACCCGGAGCATGACGGCGCTGCGGGCGACGAGAAGCGCGAGGGCACGAGCAGGCGACTAGGGGAAGGGCGGATCGGGCGGAGCAGGGCATTTGTGCAAGTCGCAGGTCGCGGGGCGGCGGGTTTTATCAGCAGCCGCGGGCGGACGAGAATGGCGACGAGGGCGAAGATGGCGAGATGGCTTTGTCCATGCACAGCCTGGACGCCTTGCAGGGTGAGCGAGTGAAGGGCTCGCACTAACACCCGTTCCTGCGCTGCTTGGGGCTGACCGGTAGCCTTGGCATGGCCTCTGTGCCGCCGATGCTCTGGCTTGACAGCGCGTGGTGCTCGACAACTGCACCTTGGGGCCGCTACTGCACATGCCCGGCGCTGCAGGCGGAGGCAGAACGGGCAGAGCGTCGACAGTTGGCCGCTCATGACGGCCGTGGTGGGCGAGCACTGGGCGGTGCTCTGCGCTGCTCTGCGCTCAACTCGTATTGATCCGGCCTAGAGGCCATTGTGGCGCATCGGCTGTGGGGACGTGCAATCCTTGGCTTAGGCAACAGCGACACCAAAGCTCATAGTCGACGCTTCTCTTTTACCACCACCTATACCCCCTCCCCCCCAATGCCTTGATTCTTCCTCCACCTTCAACCTCGACACCTCAGGCCTCCCCCCGACGCCCCAGTGCCCGTTGTCCTTTTTGCACTATCGCCGCCCTTTTTGCATCTTTGCCGCCCGCCGCCCACCGCTCGTGCCAGGCCGGCTGCTGCGCCTTCCTATATACTGCACCACCACTGCTCCTCCACTTCTCCGGCGCCCTTCCCTCTCTTACCACTCCCTCATTGCCTTCTTCCCCCGCCCCCCGGCCTGTCATCTGTTTCTGTTCCAGACGAGGTCCCACCGTCACTAGTTCATGACAACGTGACTTCGGCTTGGCCCATTCACTCTCACTTGGACTGTTGGATCCCTGGCCTCTGGGGAACCGTGCCAGTCCGTGACTCATAAGCCTGAGGCCGCCTCTTCGCCTCGCACCGGTCCTTCAACCAGTCACACCCGCCATGTCTGCACCCCTCGACCAGAACCGCCATCCCCGGCGGCGTCCACTTAAGGGCGGGGCCTCCCCTCTTAGCACCCATGCCATGCAGCTTCGCAAAAGCGGTACATTCTCGTCGCCAACCCACATATCATCCGACATCTGTGATCTGGATCGACACTTTGTGCCCAGGCGCTCGCCCACTAACACGGAGCGACTCGAACAGCTTGTCCAAGAGTCCATCCAGGATCCCAGCGTCCGCCGTGTTACCAACCTGCTCAACGACATCGAGGCCAAGATTGCCGGTCAAAAAGGCCCATCGACCTCCTCCTCCAACATCCTCAGCGACCCTGAGGTCTTCCCTGTTCCGAGCTTGTTCCTAGACAACACCGTACTGGACCACACACCCATGGACATTGACTCCAAGCCGTCTGCACAAGACCACAGCCCCCACGACCACGCTTCTGATAGCGGTCTTGGTTCCAGCGTTAGCGGATCGAGATACGGTAAGAAGTCACTGCAGCCACCCATGCTAGACCAGGACGCCCCGTTTTCTAACATACATAAAGACGACATCCGCTCCCGGCGCTCCAGCGTCCGTGAATCCATCAGCACCTCAATCAGCTCAACCCACTCTGCCGTCACGCGCTCATTCTCTGCCCTGGGTGCCTCTGACCAAGGCCACACCCTCGGCGAGTACGCGTGCAAGCAGATCCACGACAGCATTATCAAGCCCATTCTCGCCGAGGAGTCCCTCAAGGACTTCCACGAACTTATTAAAGACGTCCCCCGACGCATAGGTGAGAAGAACATCCGCAACCTTCGTGATCTCGAGAAGACTCTCATCTTCTTGGCTCCGGTAAGTGATACTCGTTGTCTTTCTGGGAGTGCAAAAGCTTATTGCATTCTTCGCGGTTTAAAGGAGCTCTCGGCAACACCGGACAAATACTCCCGATTCTGTGAACGATCAATCCAGCTCTTGGCCACGACTGTCCAGTACCTTTCCGAACAAGACCAGCGACTGCCAACCGACCGCCCTTATACTGACGGCTACTTCCTCGACTTGATGGAACAGATTAGACGATACGCTTCAATCATGGCCGCCACCCGCGAAAAGGAATCCAAAGGCGAGGACCTGGACGACATGGACTACTCACGGTATGACCGCGCAGCCGCCTTTCTGTTTTCCCGCACTGACAAAGCCTTCCACAGCGATGAGAAGATCACGCTCCGTGGTGGCCTCAGCCACAACGGCCGTCCTGTTGAGCTCGTCCGGGAGAAGAACGGAAAGGTCATTTCCATTGACGAGGATGCCGCAAAGACTTTCAGGATCAAGCGTCGTCTGTCGGATGCCGATGTTGATGACGACATGGACGGCGACGAGGTTACCCGCTCCATGGCCCGGCGACGCAAGTCTGAGAAACCAGGTGATGTCATTCATGCTTGCCGTGACTGCAACAAGGAATTCAAACGCCCATGCGACTTGACCAAACACGAGAAGACCCATTCTCGTCCGTGGAAGTGCTCTGAGAAGAACTGCAAATACTTTGATCTTGGCTGGCCAACCGAGAAGGAACGCGACCGACACATGAACGATAAGCACTCTGCTGCCCCCGCACAATACAAGTGTCTCTACCCTCCATGCACATACGCCTCAAAGCGAGAATCCAACTGCAAGCAACACATGGAGAAGGCACACGGCTGGGAATACGTTCGCTCCAAGAGCAACGGTCGCAAGAAGGCTCCTTCCAACAACAACCGCAGCCCCGCAACCCCTCTCACACCCTTCATTGGCACACCCATGTCTGCAACCATGGCCACGCCAGTAACGCCATTCATTCCCTCGCCTCAAGTTCCCATGATGGACTTTGGCTTCGGAACACCGGCAATGAGCGCAAACGGTTACCAGGGTGACTTCCGTCGTGACTCTATTGCCACTGACGGTTCTCACTTTACTTATTCATCTGGACACTCACCCGTTGAGCCCACATCGTTCAACGATGCGGTCGTGACTCCCGAGGATATTGGTGTAAACCACAATGATGTGTACAACATGTGCAACCTCGACACCAACGTTAACACTGGCTTCCAACAGCCAACGCCTATGAGCACTACGTTTGATTTTGAGCCATTGCAATTCACATCGAATAACCAAATGAACAACGGTTACCCCCAGCTTTCTCCACTGGCTCAGCCCGATGTGACACTCTTCTCACCACACATGGACGAAGGTTTTGGCGACATGGACATGAACCAATGTTTCAACCTTCCGGGCGAGGACTTTACTTTGTTCGACGCCTCGCCACCCAGCACAATGGCATTCACCAACACAACGAACTTCTTCCCAGAGTTCAACCAGGTTGGGGGCCAATTTGACGATTTCTGTCCAGAGCCCACCACTACGTTGGATGATCTCAACTACATGAATTTCATGAGCACGCAGTAAATCCGGTGCTAATTTGTATACACTTATCACGCATTTGTGTAGCCATTTCTCCGCAAGTTCTTTTTGCCTTTGTACGTTGGAGCAGATTCATTCCCCCGAGCTGGCGTTTCTCATCGTTTTTGCAACTAGCGCTCATGATTGTTTATGACAAAAGAGGTGGATCAGGATGGAAGTCCCATCGGACCTGGAATTTAGGAATGTTTATCCCTCTCACTCCTGTTATTATCAACGCGTATTATCTCATCCTCATTTTTTTGTCCCACTTCCTCGAGGGAAAAAAATTACCAAAGAGAAAATCCTCACAAAAAAAAAACAAATGACCTTTGTTTAAATGGCGAGCGGGTTTTTCCTTCTTTGCGACTGATTTGGATCTCCCCCCTTCTTTCTCCTCATCACTTTTTTGATTGTCCCTCTCATACGGAGTTTCAAGGCTGTGGTAGAGATCATCAGATAGTGTAGGATAGAAATACGAAACAATCAAACAAACAAACAATATTGTCCCTCCCTCCCTCACTCTTGCTCTCCACTCTCTCTCTCTTTCTCTTTCGTCATTTGGTTCGCGCTACCCATTATGACTCTGGGGCTGAGTAAGGGTAGTACAAAATGCATGGTTCCAAGTTACATTGGTTGCATGTGTGAGTCAGCGCTAGCGCCTTAGGTCGATGTGATTGTGGTGGCGATGCACATTGCACAGCGCCCCACACACATGGAGAATGCCGATAATAAAAGCGCCCACTATTTGCACACACACACACACACACATCCTTGCAGTCTGCATAAGTGTACAGTAGTTGCAAGGTGTGTGTGTGTGTCTGTAGTGTAGTCTAAGGGTAACAAGGGTGTTTACGAAAGCATGTGAAAGTTTATTGTTGCGTTTCACGGATTTGGATTGAACCACTTTCGTTGCAGGCAAAAAGTACTTGGTTATTGGATACTACGTTTTCGGGCAGTTGAGGTTACACACACACACACACAAGAGGGGCATATATAGGGGAAGTGTTAGTGGGGGGGGTAAACATGTATACAAAACCGAGCCAAAGAATCTCTGATTTTTAAAAAAAAAAAAGGGGGCCCTTGTTTTACGAAAGAATATCAAAGAATTCTACGGGGTGAAAAAGTATGGGAGGGAGAGAGGTTCTGGTGTTTGTATTCGTGGTTCCACACCNCCACCCACTACTAGGCGGGAGGATCGGACACTAGTTTCGGATCCTAGTACCCGGATTTTGATAGTTATGGTTGTTGTGTCAGTATACCTGGACCGGTTTTTACAGGTTTTGGGATCTATAACTTTCTCTTTTGCTAGGTCCCATGACTAAGGGCTGGTGGTGAGCTTTACTGCTAGCGTCTTTTTTTTAAGTGAATGTTTGCGTAGCGATTATGGTGGAGGTTGTGCAATATATATATATATATATATATTATTTTGGAGCGGGGGGAAGGGAGAGAAGATAATGGAGTTTTAACAAATATTAAATCTGTATTGTTGTGGACTGATAAGTAAGATTGTTGTAAAAATAAAGATACATGTAAGAATGTAAGAATCAAATCTATCCATGCTTATATCGTTATTGCTTCTGGTCCTGCCATCAGACTTTGACCCGCCATTACTGATGGTCATCTCTTAGTTCTGCGATGCTTGTTACTTTTTGGCGTGGACGTCCTTGGGCCTTTTGCTTTTCCAATCACTTGTCATGGAGAGAAACTTTTCCTGCTACTTGTAACATATAGCCTGTAGTTCGATAGTACGCTGGCTGCATGTTTTAGTGTGAGTTGTAATTAATTTTTTTGTGGTAGATTTATATTTAAATTTGACGACACTTACTTGCACTTGTTCTACAAAAAAAACTCCACGTTGGTGTTGAAAGGGGAACCGCGGTAGTTACTACCGGGATATTAAAGGCCTTCTTTTTGCACTATCTAGCCGCGAATTTTTTGCATGTATTCATCCGCTTGGGCGGCGTACACGCATTTCTTGCGGATAGTAGCACCGTATTTATAGAAGATAAACGGGAGAGGGAGGCACGCTACAGCAAGGAATGCCGGGATTGAGGAAGCCCAATGAATACCTAGTTCTGTTAGTCCCTAAAGTATGATTTGCTCAGATGTATCTTACCTAGACTAGAGTACATCTGCGTAGTAAAGAGAGGGAAGGCTGCACCAAAGGCTGAACGAAGGGTATTGTTGGCCGCTAAAGCTGAAGCTGCAAAGATCGTGTATGCATCGATAAGGTAGTTCATGATACTCAACAAGATCATCACTATACCAAAACCAAATGGTATTCCAGCTGTTGCACTTGTTGCCCATGGGAGAGATGGAGAATTCGTCCAGGCAAACCAGAAAAGACCGATTGGCAGAGCAATACCGCCAACCATAGCTGGCGGTAATCGATCTTCGGGTGCAGCAAATCCGGAGGCCGACCTTTTCATGCATTGAATATAACGCTTGTTTTCGTAGAAAACGGTGTAGGCCATTGCACCCATCATACCAATGGCTATTCCAATGAAAGGAAGACCACTGATGCCTGCATTCCATCCGCGGCCTAAGCGGTAAACAATAGGGTAGGCTGCGAAAAACATATAAAGTGTGCCATATACAATAGCCCTTTTGACTTGTAAGCTTGAGAGAACGACAATGGTGCCTAGAACACTCACGCGTATAGAGACAAAAGAAAGACGATAGGCTCGCGGAAAAGCAGCATCCATGGTCGTTTCGTGCCTACCAAGATGGCCTCACCAAGCGAAATCCTATTTCGTTCGGCGTCCGCTATCGAAACGTACACTTTGCTCGTCATCTTCGACAGGTTTTGTGCTCTTTTCCTGAGCAGAACAGGCGCATAGGTCTCCGGTACGACGGCAATATTAACAAAGAATAGAACCCCAGAGAAGATAGCTATTACTCCTTGAATCCATCTCCAACCCTCAGTCATTCCTAAAAAGCCTCCGACGATAGGTCCGATAACAGGTCCCATTGTTGGGGCAGCAGTGAAAATAGTCATTGCTAGACCGCGCTGCCGCGCTGGAAAGAGGTCTGCAATGACACCGCCCCCATTTGTTAGCGGACTAGATCCAAATCCACTTGCGAAGAACCGAAGAATAAGGAGAGTCCAGATGTTTTGTGATCCAGCTGCACCGGCACTGAAAGCAACAAAGGCAAGGAAGGTCCCGAAGAAAACAGGCTGCCGACCGTATAATTCTGAAAAGGGCGCCCAAAGGAGAGGCCCACAGGCAAACCCCAGAACAAACAAGGACAATCCGAGCGTGGCGACTTCTCCGCTGACACGGAACTCAGCTCTGATTTCCTCGATACCTGGCCATCCTCAAGTCAGCCTGTTTACTAACGAAGTTTTCTTCTTCTTCTTCTTCTTCTTCTTCTCTACGTTGGGTTCACATTACCTCCAGAATATGCAGAAGAGGCAAGAGAAATAGAAAGGGTTGCGAAGCCCATGCAAACGGTGAGAATCCACTTGTGGACGCTTGACCACTCCATGGGATTTCGTGGATCATTCTCTATCCACTCAACAATATAAGGGTCTTCTGTAGTACCCGCGCCCCGATAGCTCCACTCGGCAATTTCCCGGGTAACAAACCCCGGCTCAAGAATCATCTTCCAATGCGGGATTCTTTGACTTTCAAGCTTGGAATCCTCCTCATGACTCTTCGTACTGGAAAACATTATGGCTCTATGTAGGACTGAGTAGTGTGGCGGAGCGTGGGGTCGTACTTAGAAATGGAAGATGTCATAGTAGCTTGGCTAGCTTTAAATACAGGAAGGCCTCGGAACTGATGATTAATCATCGGATCTTCAAGATGTAGCGACCCGCCGGAGGGTCAACATGGTTGCTTCCGAATCCGGAGGGTCGGTTGTAACAAGCCCGAATGAAGAATCTTTGTTTACTAGTTATGTATGTCACTCATCGGAATAGATTATACGAGTTTAAGCGTCGGTGGCCCGTTCATGTCTAGAGTGTGTTAACTACGCCGTGTTATGCTTCGCCTGTCTGCTTGGCTTTCATATGTCCGATCGGTTTATACCTTCAGAGTCTGCAAAAAGTAAGCACTAGGCAGATCAGTTGTCAGTATAGAACTATTGTGGACCTGATAGTGGTCTTTCGACGCTCAGCATAGGAATGAATCTACTTATCGTCTGCCAGTCACGGACTCTCAACTGCCGCTTACTGGTTGTTCTGGGCACTGGGAGTCTGGAACTCTCATGGAGATGATAAGAAGAAGTCTGGGATGATAAGGCTTGTGCGTCGTCTCTGGCACTGGTTGCTGCGAGTGAGCTGGTTGCGCTACGGACATCTCTGCGTAGGGCCGACTCGACATGCATCCAAGAATACCAAAAACACGCTTACAAGATTAGACTTTTGGCAGAAAAAACGCATTCAATACATCATGTAATCATATATTCATCCGTTGATCTATTCAATCAACAGGCTCAGAAGGAATCCCCCACTCATTCTCCTCTTCCTGGCCTTCTCCATCCTCTTCCCCAACCCACCCCATGCCCCCCTCCACAACCTCAAACCGCTCCAAAAGCCCAACATCCCATCCCTGAAACTTCTTTGCCGTCGGCGGCAACAACCGCTGACTCTGCCGTAACGCTTGATCCAACTCGTCGTACAAATCTTTGGAAAACTCGACGTCCTCTATACTCGCGCTCTCGGCGTCACCGGGTCGCAGCGGCTCCCAGGTTTGTCTTTTGTAGAAGATTTTCATGCAGCGAGTGGGATCGAAGCGGTTGGGGGAGGGGATGGAGGAGGAGAAGAGGAGGTCTGGGGTGAAGACCCATATAAGGATGGAGGGTGTGGGTTCTACTATGTTGGTTGAGGGAGGGGCAGGAGTGTGGATGTGGAATTTGCGGACTGCGGTGTTTTCGATGAGGTAGAGCAGACGGGCTGAGATCCATTTTCGGGGGGAGTAGAAGTAAGATGGGATATTGGAAAGTTTGGAAGTCAGGGTTAAGCGCCATTTGTGGATGCGCCAGCCGTTTGTGAGGGGATCACGGGTGCCGAGGGGTTGGGTACAGTGTTTACAGAGGATTGGGTGCGGTCTTTCTTCTTCCTTGTTCTCTTCGGCTGATAGCTACGAAGTGTTAGAACCACACAAAGAAGAAAAAGGATATCGACAAGTATGAAGAAAGGGCATGTAGCCTTGGGCTAAACCTGTCAATCCCAATGGTCAAAGGGTATAGAGACAGTGAAACGCCAGGCCGCTGTCTACACGAGAGCGGCAACCCATCAACCTCGAGAGGAGAGGGTACATCCGGAACCGGGAGACTGTGTATGAGCCTGTTGCTCTGGGGCGCTTGTATCGACGATAGTGCCACGAAAAAAAAGGCTATATCGCCTTCTTTGCGCCCCGACGCGCGTGCAGTGAATTAACAACATACGGGCGCGCGAATCAAGAAAGGCAGAAGAAAGCTGTGGGCTTACCTGCGCGCCCTCGCAATCAGATTCCGCAAGGAGGAAGCTTGCCAGATCCACAAAGCCTACCCCTTCCTTGGCCTGCAGACGGTTGGCAGCCGCGTAGCCCTTCTGTCCAATCGCATGTTCATGCGTGTGATTGTGTAAATGATGCTCATCTGGTTTGTGACAGTGCCAGAAATCCATCATCTCAGCCCAATTCTCATTAGGCAAATCTTTCCACTGCTGAATCTTTCCCTTTGGCACAACAACGCCCTCGCAGGTCTTGCATAGTATCTCTGTATCCTCTGCGCCGTTCAGCGAGGCACCGTCCCAAGGCACAATGTTAGCCTGTCGGTCTTGGCGTTGCAGAGCACCCAAAAGATCACTTCCTTCCTTCTCTTCCATTTGTAGGCGTAGCGTCAGCTCTTTGCTTGGAGGACGCGGTGGTAATTCGAGTGCGGCATCGCCAGCACCCTTGACATTAATCGGCAGACGTATTGTCGCTGACTCTCCCTCATGCGACACGGTGATGTAGGAGCCATCTGCGGACAGCTTCGCGTCTGTCTGCCGCGAGTGATTTGTGCGCAGCGACGCGAACAGCGTTACCGTACGGATATGCAGCAAGAGCTCGGCGTACAGTGTTATCGACGTTTCGTTGGGCAACATGGGGCGCGCATTATCCTCGTCGCTCTGTAGCAGATTCGGGGCGTGAACCTTGGTGGGTTCCGGCGCAGGCTTGGGATTCATCAGGTCTTTGAGCGCTTCAGGAGACAGACCGAGCGCTTCGTATGCCGACTCGGGAAGTAGCGGGCGCGACATACTTCGTAATTGGGCTCCATAGTGGCGGGGATGGACGTGGGGTTGCTAGTAGGTCAATGAGCTTGCGCGCGACAGAGTTTACTTAACCAAGACAAGAGTGGGTCCGCCTGGGAGATTCTAACTACATTCAGCCTTCCTGATGCATCTTGCGCGGAGCCATACGGCGCAATTATATGTATTAAATACTACTTCTGCTGCATGCAATCATGCTATCAACTATGACATGAAATTAAATTTACTCAACCATGTTGCTCAGGACTTCTTTCAGCCTATCCAAACCGCATCTACTGTCCCTTCTTCTCCCCTGCCTTCTTTTCCTGCTCCAAGATGTATTGCACACCTCTCTTTATACCCTCGTCAAGATCAACAAGCGGCTCATATCCCAGCCGCTGCCTTGCCTTGTTGATGTTGTGGTATTTGGACATGCTACTGTACTTTACTTGAGCCCGGGTCAGGTTTGGTTTCTTGCCCATGAGCCAGAACACATTCTCCAAGACCGCGCCAATGGCCCATGCAAAGTCAGCGCTGAGATGCCAGACGCTGCTCAGGGGCACGCGGTCACCTGCCTCATGCCAGACCTTGCGGGCAAAGTCCCAGAAGTAGACAGGCTGGCCATTGGTGATGAAGAAGGCCTCACCATCCACACGCTCTGTGTCTAGAGGGATGGTGGGCAGAACTTTGTGGGTATGAAGGAGAGCCAGAACAGCGAGGACGTGACCGTGAGCGACATTCTCAACATATGTAAAGTCGAACAAATTTGTGTTATCGCCGACCTGGAACTTTGTTTGTCCTTTGCGGCATGCGGCGACCATCTTGGGAAGCAATTGAACGTCGCCCTCGCCGAAGATGCCTGCAGGACGGATAGCGCAGGTCAGGAAGTTTTCGGGGTTGCGGTTCGCTTGGAGTACGGCGGTCTCTGCATAGGCCTACATGTGCGAATTAGCGATGACAAGTAAACAAAGAGTGTCCGCTTACCTTGGTAGTGGTGTAGTACTCGGGCTGGTCAGCGCCAGTGACAAGGGGCCACCTTTCGTCCGCATTGATGAGCTCTGTCCGGGGATCAAGAATCACGCTTGCTGAACTTGTGTAGACAAAGGCCTTGACTCCAGCTTCTTGCGCCGCTTGCAGCAAGACCTTGGTTCCTCCAACATTGACCTTGTCGTGGATTTCAGGCTTCAGGTCGAAGTGTGGAGAGGCTGTGTGAATGACCGCATGGGGCTTGATCTGGGAAAACAGAGCCTTCATTGCGGCAGCATCGGTGATGTCGCCATCGTGATAGGAGACGGTTGGACTGGCATGGCGATTTGAACTGGTCCGCAAATCAAGGACTGCAATCTGTGTTTGTGGGTGACGCTTCACAATGAAGCTGACAATGTGACTGCCCAGGAAGCCGCACCCGCCGACGACGAGGACCTTTCCGAGAGACTGTATTTCTTCCGCACGCGACATTGTGGATGATGTGTGGTAATGGCGAAAGCGACGGTACGGGTATTGAGGTTTGTTTGCGGAGAGAGGTCGGGGATCTATTTCCGCCCAGGGGTATTGCATGGATTGGCAGTCCCCGCATGTTGCTTAGGGTCCGGACGGTCTTAGTCCGGCCATGCTCTACTACACCTGGACGAGTCTTTACAATCTTCAACCCCACATCATTCTTTAAATCATGCTCTTGTAAATGCTCTTCGAGAAGAGAATTTTACCCTGTTCGGAAATGTGAAGCGAAATTTTGCACGCATAGACTTGGCTCGCATCATCTGGCTTTTGTTCAGTGCCTGTAACCCATGTAGATGCATTTACGCGCACATGTGCGCCCATGCAAGAACTCGATGTATTCATGATAAATTGTACCACCATTGGTTAACTAACGCCATATTTCGAGGTGGTCATCTTTCATACTACGATGCCTAGTAGAGCCCACAAACGCCGTATAATGCAAGCCTGGATCAGACTTGGGGTATCATGTAAGATCATAACTAATGCGGTCGGCCGTTAAATCGTCATCCGCATAATCCTCTTTTTACTTAGAAGAAATTTCTATGTCTCGGTCAGCACATGGTCAATAAAGGATAGTTGGCAGACCTACTCAGCGCTGTCTTGCGCGGACCGTCTCAAGCGGCGGTTGTAGAGCTTTTTGTCTTCTGGACTTCCCCAGAAAAGCTTTGCAGCCTCGGGATTCACCAGCGTGCGTGGGTCGTACGCAGGCGATTCCTCCTCAATAGCTGCAATGATAGCCTCAATGTGGGATCGCATATCATCTTTGCGAGCAGCGTCGTAACAGAGGATACCGTCGGGAGACACGCGATGGTGGTATAGAATTGGTGTCTCGAACCTGACTCTAGGTAGGACATCTGGAAACTTGGGGCTGATGTACAGCCTGATCCTGAACATGCCTCCGTCGAGGTTTGTCATTGGCCGACCAAAGAGTACTAGCTGCCATACGAATGGATTCTTGTCGACCAAGTCGAGGTCCAATGCGATCGCGTCTTGCTTCTTGTATTTCTCGACAATCTGTTCGTATTGGCGCTGAAGGTTATTCGCAATGCTCATCTCTTTCCTAACGGCCGACATGCCTTCCAAGGCCCAAGATTCCATTTCCTTATTGAGTGTCTCAAAGATCTTGACGAGACGCTCCCGAAGAGACGTGTATTGGAAAACACCTTCCATGGTATTTCCTGGGCCTTCGAATGGCATCTTCTCAAAGCGATCTCCATCCTTGTTCTGCTTGACCGCTTCGTCTACCCGAGTGAGATAGGACTGATAGTACCACAGAAAACGTCGCTTGCAGAGATCCTTGAAAGGTTCGAACGGCGCATCGTCTCTGTTGGATTGATAGTCTTCTTCAGCATTGTAGATTGTCACACCAGGTCTCTGTCGGTTGATGCCTAAGTATTCCTCAAGCCGTTCAACAACAGATATACGGAGAGACTCATGCCGAATCTTGTCCACGTATGCCTCTTGGTTCTTTTTATCGTAGTCGGAGTTTGCGTCTTCAAAACCGGGCTCGTTCTCGTACGGGTTGCCAGACATGAGGCTCTGGATGGAGATCAGGATTGACTCGAGGCCTTGTGCAGATGACCACTCTTCGCCACGCTCGCCACGCCATGTACTGGATCATGTAAGTTTTGGAACAGGTAGAGAACGTGATTTTGCTGACCCAAGAATTGACAGGCACACCTTTCCGCCTGCATAGATGTTGGGATTAAAGCGCGTGCGCCCGCCATTTGTAGTTATGGCTGTCACGCTCGGCGCTTTGGTTGGGTAGTCTCGAGTGAACTTGACGGCAAATTCGAAGAAGCCAAACTCGTATGGGGTATCAGGCGGGCCTATGATGAGTGCCCGCACATGGCGCACATCGATGTCGCGGCAGGCGACCGCTATTGAGAGATCGGATCCGCGCTGAATCTCGCCCAATTCACGGGTGATTCTGAGAATGCACTGATTCGACATGGTCCCGTGGCAACGTCTCTGCTAGGGTCTCGTACGTGTGTAGGTTGTGCGGGCTGGAGGCGCGGGGTTGGTGGGCTTAGTGACGGCCTAGAGGAGACAGCTGATCGAACGGTCTGGAAGTCGTTATTGGGCAAAGTGACTGACAGCCGACAAGCAGTCGCTCAGGCACCTCTAGGCTACCGTATCGGCAGTCAAATGCGCAATTCCGGCACGATTCAACAGCCTCGTGGGTTCGTCTGCTCGACTTCGCGACGGGGGTGGAGTTGTGGTTTAGAAGAAAGTGAGGAGAGAACAAAGTACTATGTGGGCGACCTTGTACTCCCAGTCGACAACAGTGAAAGAACTTGCAGGAAGACCGTAGATCGTTATGGTGTCAAGGCAGGCATGGGTAACGGAGCCCTAGTAGCTCGGGTTGCAGGGAGATGCATGCGGAGGGGCAGAATCCGTCACCGCTCACGGAACCCAAGCCGCAACACCACGCTCTAATTGTCGCGATAGCTAGCAGATAAGGCTGCGTCTGCAACATGTATGCCTCAGGACTTGTATCATAGTGTTATAGCTAACGGTCACAGGGTTGTCTTTGCGCTCTTCATAATAAGCAAGTCGGGCGGCCTCGTCTACAACCGCGAGTTTCATACGGGCATGAACAAGCTTACCAGCAATGACTACCTTATGCTTGCTGGGTCCTTCCATGGGTCAGCCCTATTACAAGCGCAATCATGGCTCTGCTGACCCCACTCCAGCATGCACGCCATAACCGCCCAACTCTCTCCTGTCCCACCCGCTCGCCCACCCCCTCCCTCAACCACTACCCCAAATCTGCAAACCTTCCCTGTCCGTGCTACCGGTATCGAAGTACTCGAGAGCTCCCACTTCCGCATCCAATGCTTCCAAACACAAACCGGAGTAAAGTTTCTACTCTTCACCGAGCCGCAACAGCCAAACGTGGACACAATGATAAAGAAGATATACGAATTGTATGCCGACTATGTAATGAAGAATCCATTCTACACCGTGGAAATGCCCATCCGATGCGACAAGTTCGATCGAGGGTTGGATGGATTTGTGAAGGTGAGAGGGTGAGGGCAGCACAGTCTGCAAGACAGGACATGACGATCGCGGAATGAGGGGCTGGCCATGGCATGTTGCCGTAATAGATATACATGGCCATATAGGAAGCGCCCAGCTTGCACGCCCATTTTTGCATATATAGTGTGCATCAAGGAGCGCGGCGATTGTGGAAAGACTGTTGAGCTTGAGAGCAGCGACTTCAAAGACAGACGACTCTCAATGGCTCCTGCAGTTGCAACAGACGTCGACGTCATTGAAGCGTCGTTTGGATAGGGATAGCCGGACTCGAGAAACACGAGTCATCAATAAACAAGACACATGACCATGTCAGGTTAAACAGACTGGCAGAGTCATTATTTGTTTCATTCATCCATCTGTGTCGGATGTGGTAGACACTAGCTCTAGTCATACAGTAGACGCCGTAGATGCTTTGCCCGATATAAAGGCTCTATACGGAAGCTATGCCAAACGCACCTTGACGCCGTGCCACGCTTACTCTGGCTCATGCTGTGTCCATCTTGTCTGGGTCATCGTCCTTTTTGTTCTTGCTTCCACTTCCACTAGGCTGGCCCTGATCATCTAGCAATGGTTGCTTCTCATCGCCCTCAGCAACTGGCTCTAGCTCCGACTTGCCCTCCGCAGCCTCCTTTGCCTTCTTGTCCTTCTCCTGTCGTGCCTTCTCTTCTTCGAAAGACATTCTGAGCGCAAGTGCAAGTTCCGGATCGACCGACGGATCTACGCCGAACTCGAAGTCGTTGCCGCCCGATGCACCGCCGCCACCACCTCCAGAACCGCCCTCGCCTCCAGCGTTAGACGCGCCCTCTCCGCCGACAATGGGTGTAGTAATCAAAGAATCGCTGAGTAGGTTTGCGCTGGGTGGAATGATGGCTAGGTAGGAGCCTTCAGCGCTCTGTACGTTGTCGCTGAAGGCCTGGAGTTTCCGCGTGGTGTCGTCACTGAGTTCGCCGAACGCGATGATATCAATGCTAATACCGCTCTTCTTCATCTTCTTTGCCAACTTGACCAGATTCTTCTCCTCTTCCTCGATAGGACTGCAGTTGAATATGACTATTCTCTGCTTCTGTGACTTGTTCTGCCTGTGCTTGAGAGCCAGCTGCGCGACCTAGTCAGAAGTGACCTCTTCCAATGTTGTAGGGAAACGTACCGCCGCCACGTTGATGCCGGTGACGAAATGTGAGCTACCCTTTATCTTTGTCCTGTGCAGTCCATCAAGCACCTTGCCAATGTCCGTTGTCAGAGTCGTGAGGATCTCCGGAGTGTTGCCTCCCATGCTCATCAAACCCACAGAAGACTCTGGGTTTGCTCCAGTCTTCGCGGAGAAGATCATGTTGACAGCATCCTGTTGCGCTTCCCATCGCGAGGGTACATAATCGCCGTTTCGACTAGCTTCGCTGTTGTCAACACTGCGAAGGTTAGTAAGGAAGGCACATCTGGGGTTTGGAGGCAAACGTACACTATCATGGAGGCTTCTAACACCATCTTGAATGTGATTTGTCCTAGGTGTCGAAGTGATAGTTTGGGGTAGTTGATTAGATCGACGGTTACGGTATGCTGCTGAGCTTAGGTCGCCGCAGCGGAGACCGGAGGCTGGCGAGCAAACCCCCGACGTCACGTGGAGACGAGAGACAGCGGGAGACCGTGCGCGACTATACTAGAAGAAATGACTCGTATTTCGATGCAGATAATCGAAACCTTACTCATGTGTTTTGAGATATCGTGAATTGCGCGCCCTGCTGTGCAGCGCTGTGTTGCAGTCATTTTGTTGGAAGTGACTCATTGGGTGTTCGAAGAGGCTTCAATATCTTAATTATTATTCTACATCGTGTGCAGGCTGGAGGCGGCTGGCAACCTTGGCGTGGGTATAAGTACAAAAGCCTCGCCTACTGTCCATCCTTCCTTCCTCTACCATCCCACACCAGATTCAGAAGCCGCAGCCAACACCACCCACAACCACATCAGAAGAGCCCAAAAACTCTTCCAGCTGTTTCAAAAAGTACTGGATAGCCTTGCGGCGTTTTTCTTCACCTTCTATCTGCCCTTGCATTGTCAGCGTCGCGGCCGAATACGCGTTGTTTACTCTCTGGACACAGCACCTGAAGGACCCAACCTCAATCGCAGTGACGACGCCAAAGCTTCTTAGGACTACCCAAAGATATCTTCGAGACTCTAAGGGGTTTCCTGAAAACTTCTCTTTATACCCGTTACTGCCATCAACCTGGTGACTGTTCACGCGTCACTCCCACCATCACCATGAACAATATCGCCAGCGGACTTACGGCTGAGGCCAAGGCCAATATGCTTGCAAACCTCCAAATCGAACTCAACTCGCGCATTGAGAAGCTACGAGCCCAATGCGAGGCTCAGTGCGCCAGTATGCAGTCGCGCCTCGAGCGACGCGTCAACCGCATTCCGATCGTGACGCGCCAAACCACACTTGCCAACCTTCTCAAGGCGTCAGCACCAGTACAACCTATCACCGCGCCTGCCCCACCAACCAAGGTCACAACAACTACCGCCACCACAACAACAGCAACTACCACTACTGCCGCCACCAAGAAGACAGCCGGTACTGGCACTGCTGGTCGCAAACCCCGCAATGCTGTACCCAGCGCGCCTTCTTCACGACCCGCATCCTCCCCAGAAGTGCGCATCAAGTCGACTTCCAACCCCAAGACTACCAAGACTGTCCCCACATACGCCAAAGCAACCAAGACGGCCCGAGCAAAGAAGCGCAGCAGCGACGAAATGTCTGGCGAGGACAAGGAAAACTCTGAACTGCCTGTGCCCAAGAAGCGCACTAGAAATGTTGCTCCCAAGGCCGCAACTGAGAAGACTGAGAAGGCGGAGAAGACGGCGACAGGCACCACACGTTCGACCCGGGCTGGATCTCGCACCAAGCCTACGAGCGGCGGCCATGTACTCTCTCCCAAGACCAATGCAGCCAACGCGCGCAAGCCCGCTCCTGCTGCACGTAGCGTCCGCCCCCGGTAGCGCCCTTAGACGGACATGGTTACGCACAGCATTGGTTAATTTTGGCGTTTGATGATGATGATACCCCCTCTCTTTTTTTTAAAATGGCATCTGGGCGGCGCTTTTTCAAAGTTTTTGATTGTTTTGTTTTTTGTTTTTTTTTCCTGGATTTTTTGAATATCCGGTTTTTGTTCCACTAGGACTTTCACATCATCCTGATCGAGTTTCGGCAATTTGTTTTCTCTTCGCCCTTGGCTTGAATGAAGGAATGTTTTTCCCCCCGTTCGAGTTCCAGCCGCCCGCAAGGGAAGGCTCTCACGGGAGGGGGAAGTTCCGGAACACAGCCGGGTTGGAGGAGATGTATATCTTGCTAGAATTGGTGGGGGAAGGTGGGGGTTGCGCTTCGCATCGTGTATTAGTTTTGTTGTTTTTGTTTTTCTTGTTTTTGGATCTTGTCTGATTGTTCAGTTTTGCATAGCGATGAAGGCTTTGCTCACGTAGTATAGGAGAGAGATGAATCATGACATGACGTTTTCATTCTTCGTCATAGCAATAGTCGTGGTGTTTGACTAGCCTAATCCAGAGGCTTCAAAAGACAATAGGTATACAGCGATGATTAACAGCAGGGTCATTTTACAAGTCCCTCTCTTCCAGACGCGTTTTTTTTAGTCCCATTCCATAATAGCTTCCTCGACAAGCGGCTTGATGACCTTCCTGCCCGCATCCGATCTATGCTGCCAAACCATTTGCCTAGGCGCCAGCTCATCGGCCCTGTGCCAGGGCTGGAAATCGATGCCCTCTTTGTTATTCTCAATCGCGTCCTTGACAAGCTTGAAGAGCGAATCCGCTTGATCTTGATCAATGCGTACGTCGTCGCGGACAACAAGTACGATTTCCCTGATCTTCTCTTTACTGCCGTCCTTGTAGTGTTTCTTGTACTTGTTGATTGAGACGGACACGTCGACGTTGGCTTGGGCGGTCCAGGCGGCGTGGATGGCGAACCAGTCTGTGCAAATTGTTAGCTTGGAATTTTTAGGTGGTAAGAAGTAGGGACAATGGAAACATACCGAATAGCTCCTGAAACTCCGTCTTGAGGATCTGCTCGTCCATTGAGTAAGGAATGGATGCGAAGCCGACGCTTATGGCAGGGGTGCGTGGAGAAGGCGTGTCGATTGCGTCGGACTTCCAGTCGCGGCGGAGTAGGTCGTATAGGCCGAGGTTGTCAATGTCCTTTTGGGCCTTGGTGAGCTCGTCGTCGAGGTCTTCCATGACGTCTTTGAGGTCGTCGTTCCTCCAGTTGCTGCGTGCGAGAACGCGCTTGGAAGTCTCAATGTCGGCTTTGGTGGTCTTGTCACCTGTGAGGCCGCCAGAGTCAATGGCAATGGCGCTGAGAATGAGCTCGAGGAGCTCGTGCGGCATGTGATATTCTTCGTCGAGCTTCTCCAATTCGTCGAGCATTTGACGGGCGACGAGGGTTGTGCAACTCGCTGCTGTCTCAAAGACACGGGGATCGGCGTCTGGCGCGGTGCCGCGGTCTTTGTGGTGGTCGAAAATACTCAGAATCTTGGCGGCTGACCATTTCTTAAGGGGTTCCGAGTGGTCGACGAGGACAATGCCCTTAAGCTTGGTGCTCAATGTCTCTGGGTCTTCGGGCAGTTCGTCCAGTGTCAGTAGGTCTTCGTGGCCGGGCGTCATTTGCGAATTGTCCAGAGCCAGCTTGTTCTCGGGCCTCAGGTCAAGGGCATGTGACGGGGTCTGCAGCAGGGCAATTGCCTTGAGGGGGTTGGAGGTGTTCATGGTGGCATGCTCGAGGTGGTATGCCCAAGTAAGAGCTGCAGTCATCGAGTCCATGTCACCGCCCTCATTGCCCTGGACCAAAATCCACTCCGACTCTTTTCCAGCTTGCCAATCGATCAAAAACTCCTTCTTGGTCTGGCGACTCCATTCGCTGAAATGGCCGACTCCTACAGGCTTGGTGGGTGACTTGGACAACGCGTCCAGGACTACCTGCTGGGGAGCGGCAGCAACATGGCTGACAGCCATGAGGCCCGGCAAGAGGGCGCGAATGGGTTTCATGGTGGAGAGAGGTGGGAAGTGATGGCGATAGGTGGGAAGAGAGGACCTGGGTTCTATAACTGCTGAGGCGCAAAGGCGGCCCTGTTTCAGGCACAGATGGGGACAGTAGGCGTGGGACTGTTGCGTCACAGCATTGGCCAAAGCGTGACGGGCCAAGGCAGAGACGCGTCTCAGCCCTACAGCGAGCTTGACGCTGGGACGCTAGCACCTGGCCAGGGTGGCGGCTCGTCTATGTCTTGGTGGCACATTATGTTACAGCGCGTGTTTGTATGCACATGGGATGTAATCAAGCAGCAGTACATAGTATACATGTGTGGGTGTCAGCAGCTGGCGGCGCTGTGCAACACGGACATTTGCCCTCCCCGCACGGCCAGCGTGCTTATGACGCAAAGTTCCCGGCTGCTGCTTGGTCCGGGCGCCGGCCGTCGCGGAGTGGCTGTGGCGAGCCCTCCCCGTACACGCTGCCGCCCGTCCTCCAGCCACAGCACTACAAAGACTACATCCATGCCCGCTCCCTTACAACCTCTGTCCACACCCTTTGCAGGACGCCTTGCATCCGCATGTGTACACAGGCTGCCCGTCCCCTTCCTAGCGCCGCCCTAGCCTCATCGCTGTCCGCTTACTGAACCATCAGCCAAGCTCTTGCCGGTTGCGACCGGACAGACGCACGCTTAGCAAGCACTGCATCTAACCATCTGCCTCTCCACTTCCTGGGCCCGGCTCCTTTGCTCCCCACGCTCTTTGTTCTGGGGAAGCGCTCGTCGTCGCCACTGCAACCATGGAACCCAGGCAAAACGATCAAGCTCACCCACAGACGTCGCCCACCACTTCGACTACTACCACGACTACCACCCATGGCCCCCATACTACTATCTCAACCACTGACACCACCCCGGGACAGGGGACCACGCTACAACAATCTCCAGACGGCTCAACTACCATCACTCACCCTACTGTTACCACCACCACCCACATACCTGCGCCCCAACCTTCTGCCTCACAACAGAGCGGGCACCGAGTGCCTTCGTATCCGCTGAGACTACGCAGTTCCTCCGTCCGCAGTCACAGAACTTCACACCCTCCTGCAAGTACTTCACAGGTTATCCAAGAGGCCGATGCAGCGCCCGCTCCTTCTTCACAGCGAGCTCTGGCTGTCGACGATGCATGGCAAGCTGGTCGTAGACGAAGCAGTTCCGAGCCGCGCCCGCCTCCGCAAGCCATGTTCAATGACGATGTCCTGCGCCCTCAATTGACAGGAACACCACATCTACAGCCCTTGTACGAACATGAATCGCAAGCTACGAACCGTTTTTCCGGCAACAGTCCTCCGGCGGCTCAAGGTACTAGCGACACGCGAAGAGGCCTTATTCGGACTTCTTCAGCCTTCCATATGCGTCGCAACGAGAAGACTCCCCGTCAAAGCATGATGGGTGATAATGTCGTTGACGTACTCGATGTCATTGGTTAGTCATCTCTCAACAGTTCACTATCGTAGGCTAATGCAATTCCCAGACCCCGAAATATCTACCTTGACGACACTAAACAATGTCCAAAACTCGCTATTTATACCCAATCTGCCCTGGCTCTACAATCGCCAGCCTACATACGATCTAGTACAGACTGAGTCCGAGTCATCGGATGAAGAAATGGGCACGACTAGGGGGGCAGAAACGACACGAACAGGCGAAGCAGGACGACCAACGAACGATACACGCGGCGATGATGGTGAGTTGCTTCGCCGAAACTCAATCGACTCGGTTCTGTCCACCATGGAGGAAGGCCCTGGTCACCACTATGCCGTGCTCCCTCATGGGGCCTCCTTGACAGGATGGACAGACGAGGAGAAGGCAGCTCTCGATGACCATGTGCGCCACCTCCTCCACTCGCGACGTGCAAAGTTTAAGCGGACCATGAAGGGTTTCGGACGCTACGTCCGCAACCCGCTTGGCTTTATTGTCACGTTATACTTCTTCCTCATTACCTTTTGGGGAGCAGCATGGGTTCTGTTTCTTATCGGTTGGATCTACGTTGGCCACCGACAGGACTATTTTGTCGAAATCGCCGACCAGATTCTTACCGCTTTGTTCTGTGTGGTTGGAATCACAATGTTTCCCTTCCGCCTCGTCGACACTTACCACATGGCTTTTGTCGCCTACTATGCGCACAAAACTTGGAGGGTCCGCAAAGAGAGGGGCCTAAAGGACCTCAAGGATCACAATGAGCTACCAGCTATGCCACCGTCTTCTGCCTGGGAAACTGGAGAAGCGATGCAGGAAGATGTAGAGATACCTGTGTTGACTGCGGAGGAGCAAAAGAAGCTGGAACATCACCAGAGCAAGTTGGCCAAATCGCATACGTTTTATCGGCCTCACGAAACATATACGCACCATGCCTTCTCCATTCGCCTGCTCATCACCATTATCGTCCTTCTCGACTTCCACTCCATGTTCCAATGTGCCCTTGGTGGCACTACATGGGGCATCTACTACAAGGATCGGCCCAAAGAAGTCACGGCTATCATCCTCAGCTTCAGTCTTACATGCAACATTACTGCCGGTATCCTCATTGGCCGAGGCGACCGGCGCAGCCGCAAGACGTTGGTAGTCGAGCAGATGCTCCGCCAAGAGATGACGGAGGAAGCGCTCAAGAAGCTGAGGAAAGAACGCGGTATCAAGGCAAAAGGTCTTAGGAATAAGACGGAGAAGAAGCAGATGAATAAGAAGTTGGGTCTGAGGACCAAGAATCCATTGGACACTATTGTGCATCGCGGTTAGACTGCTAGCGTTGTCGCTTACGTCTTTTGTTTTCAAATAGTATAGAAAAGTTTTGTGAGAAGACATGTTGTCGTTGTATTGGATTTAATGACATATACCCTCTTTGGCGGTCTCGGTTGCCATTTCCCTTCACATACAATACCATATTTGTTCATTCAGCATTACTCAGTCTGACCGCATCAAGCTATACCTTGTTCTGCATTTCCGAATCCGACTTTGACCATTCCTCTTTTCTTCACCTCCCTGCATCGCTTTTCTTTCTCCCTTCAAACCTAAGCTTCCCCAAAAAAGGTAAAGAGCGAGTTTTTTTTTTCCCTCCGCCGTCTCCATATCGCCCACCTGGCCCACCTTCCCGTTTCGACAAACTGGAAACGTACGAGTAATGGCATGTCCCCATCCATAAACCCACCCCATGTCTGACTCGCCTGTACGTGGATCCCTTAACCTAAACACACACTACCCCTGTCCGCATTCTCTGTCCCGAAACCTAATGCAAGAGATTAAGGTAAACGCAAAAAACAAACAGAGTTTGAACACGTGGTGGGCCTAGACAGCTCTCACTCTCACTCTCCTTAAACTTTGCCAAGTAAACCTTTCCAGAAACTACATTTACTCCAGTTGTGAAAATATCGGCAAAATGCCACACAAATTGTATACTACCAAAGTCAATCAGAATCTGTGGTGTTGAAAAGAAGAAAAAAAAAATACATGCATATGAACTATATGGCGTAGGGGGGGGGGGCATTCATTTCCCCAAGTGTCGACTCTCATACCCCGTTCGCTCGTTAGGGGGCTATTTCCAGCCCATTCGGCCATTAGCAACGTTACAATGTTCTTCGTCGGTATGCATGCTAAATACCGTTCCTGCAAGTTATCCAGCGGCATGCCACCCGGTATGCCGCTGACGTTCGTCCTCCGCACTAACAAAAAAGGGACGGGGGGTACCTATGGACGCCCAAAGAAGAAAAAACAGAGTCCTCGATATAGCAGCCATCTTGCACGAGGGAAAAAAAAAAGAAGCATCTATTACCGTTTCTACCAGGTGATAACTTTTTGGGGGATTTTTGCAGGTATTACATCGACCAAGTACGAATTTGAGTTGGAAGTGTCTTTTTTTTTACCCACGTACGAAGATTAGCACAAGTACCTTTTTTTTGCTTTTTTTGCTTCTTCAATTAATGCCCGTTTTGGGTCTCGGTAAAACTTCCTTCTCCTTTGTCTAATCATGGTATGAATTGAACGTCTATAAGCCGTTATATATCTATGCTGTGATGGAATTACATTTACAGCTTACTTGGCCCCTAGAAATATAGCCACAAAAAAAATAGATCCATCATTTTTGGATTAGCTAGCTAGTCGTAACATATAGAGAGAGGCAAAAAGAGAGAAAGAGAGAGAGAGGTGGGGAAAAAACGCACCTTTGTCATCGTTGGGGGAAGAAGATTCCACAGTTCATTTCCCTTTTTTTTCAAGAAAAGAAAAGGTTACTATAGTGGAATAGAAGGAGGGGGGGAAAAGTGGATTGATTAGATACTTGACTAGACGTCTATATGCATGATGTCGAGCGTGTTTCTTTTTGTTTCTCTCTTGAAACCCCCCCCCCCCCCCCCCCCCCCCCAAAAAAAAAACATTCGAAAGAAAGGAAGAAGATTAACACAAGGTATAGTTATTGTTAAGAAATTAATACATGATAACTTTTCTCCTCCAATGAATAGTACGAGTTGAAAAGTTGCATGAAGAGAGACAAAGAGTATAAACAAGCAGTGCTAGTAGCAAGAAGAATTCTTTTCATTAACGCTAGATAGAGAAGATGTTGGCGAGGTGAAATTTCCAAAGACCGTTGTTGCACGCAGGGATCTGTGCGAAGTCTCTGTGAAGGGAATTTCACCACCGTCTTTAGTGGCTGCAAATCTAAGCAGCTGTTAAATTCCAGCCATGGTGACTAACTTTGACCTTGGTAAAAAACAACAGCAGATAGGTCCTAAGCTACTAAACAAGGATAGCAGCATGATACATAATGAACAAATCACAATGAAATCTAAATCATAAACAATATTGACCTTGTTTGTTTTCAGGTTATGGTAAATACACAAGCATCCGTCCCTTTTCGGTGATAAACTACAAGTACACGCCAACAGATGCCTTTTTGAGTTTTTCTCATCTTTTTTTTAATCCACCCTGGAAACATATGGCGTATAAATTTTGTCCAGCTTGTCGGGTAATCACTCCCTGTTGCCAATAGATGATGCCCTACGCTCACATAGTAGAAATAAAAGTGCCCTCCCNCCGCCCCCCGGGAGACCAAAAAAAGGCCGCAAAGGCCATGCTACGAGAAGTTTTTCCATGCTGAAAAAGGTCGTAAAGCACATTCGAAAGTAATTAACGCCACACTCAGGAGGTTCAGTTGACCTAAAGTCAACTAAGGCATGTACACATGTCGATATAACACTGGAAAGTACACGTGCCTCGAACCCCTCGATGAGAAAGAGCAAAAAAATAATAAATTAAGATGAACACCCCGTAAATGTGGCGTGACTGGATCCGACGCTATATCGACAATGATTGCGCAAGTGTTTATCCGTCCGCACACTGTGTGGGATAGTGCCGTAGACAGGCTGTTGAGCAGAAGCGTTCAACCTGGCTGGATTGGAAGAGAAATAAGGTTTTAGCGATGTGAATGTTCGTATGGGCGCATTCCACCAAACTCGACGCCCTGCATCGCATTCGCATGCGGTGGCACCCATGAAGCTGGCGGTTGTTGTTGTTGTTGCTGCTGTTGCTGCTGCTGTTGCTGAAGTGGTGGGAGCACGGTGGTGGCAGAACCAGGTGTTGTAGGATGCCCTTGAGCGAGATGACCAGTCATGCTTCCGTAGACGTGTGCATTGTTTGGGTCAACACGACGAAGAGCATTCCATACGGCTGTCAATTCGGAGCGAAGTAACTCATTCTCTTCTTGGGCCCGTCGACAATATTCAGCGTCAGGTCGTAAGCGACCAATCTCTTCACGAGCAGTCTGATGTGCTCTCGTGAGATTTCGTATGTACTCGATGGCTGGTAATCTGTTAGGAAGATACATGGGAGAAACCATGGCAAAGCCTACCTTTGGTAAGTATCTCCCACTTGCTTGATTTGCTGCCTGGCGAGTTGGGCAAGATGTTGTTTAGGTCATCAAACAAAGTCTTCATCTCGCTTCTGCGCTTCCTCTCAGCCATCTTGTGGCTCACGCGAAGCTCGGGCGTCCGGCTATAGCTTCCGCCACCAGGAGTCAAAGGATTGCTGGGATCTATGCTTTGGAGATTCGTAACGCTACGATGTTGCATAGAATGATGGTGGGTACTTGGAATGTCTACACCAGTCAGCAACGTCACATGAGACAGATTGGGATACATGCCGTCATCTAGCCGCTGTTGACCTTGGGGTAATCTTGAGTCAGTAGTGTATATACTACTATTGATTGAAGTTGCAATACTGTTTTGACGCGAAGGCACATTTGAGCGATCAATGCTAGACTCACCACTACTCGATGCTCTCTTGTCCTCGTGCTCAAAGTCATCTGCTGGAAAGGCCCAAGCATATCCCTTAGTCGGTGCCGAGGCGGTAGGATTAGGGGCTCCCGATACACTCTTGGGGTTTGGAGTAATGACGGGAGCACGGCGTGGAGGGTGGTTGGCACGTGGACCATTGCGATTAGGCGACAGAGGAGAAGTGCCATTGGGGCGCGACTCGGGGTTTGCAATGCCTCGTTGCTGCTGCAGATTCGAGACGAGGGAAACGCGGGATGCATTCTGGCTCTCGTACGGCGACTGTGGATGGATGCTGAGATGGCCCATACCGACATTCATGCGGCTGTCTACACTGCTGCGTCGAGATTCTAGATGTGAGCTAGCATCAACACTTAGTCTGTTGTCAAACCCTTGGTTGAGAGATGGCAAAGCACTTGGCTGTAAAGACTGAGAGAAGCCAGAAGAGTACCTCGCCGAAGACGGTGTCTCTGGTATCGATGCACGCGAGGGTGAATCGTCTGAGGGGTTCAGAAGCGTTTGCACCTGCAGCCCCATGTGCTGCGAGACAGTGGATGAGTCTGGTGTGCACGTTAGGACAACGTGTTGGTGACAGGCGGGTGGTGTTGGATACTCACGTTTGCTTGGAGCAATGGACCAATTTCCCGAGTCGCGGATGTCCCGGTTGTCCAATTGTTGCTTTGGCTGGGCCGGGCTGTGTTCGGCCGTGGGCAAGCCGTTTGTGAGGGTTGATAATGGTGGCAGTGATTGCTGTCCTTGAGGCAGTTTACCATGCACACCATTGCCATGCTGCACTCGCGGTTGTGCTGCGGAATCCATGGCTGTGGGCTTTGCTCACAAGCGAGCGGTTTAATAGTAGTGGGCAGTGTGGCCTCTGCGTCGGTGAGAAAGGTCTCTTGGTAGGGTACTGGATCACAGGGTTGACTGGTGACGAGAGACAGGACCAATAGGGAGGCTGACAGGGTGGCGTGCAAGTGGTAACGGGTCAGGGCAGGACCCAGGGTCTGGAAGAGGGTCCAAAAGTAATGATTGAGAAATAAAAGGGGACCTGTTCCCAAGGATCGACGTGTAGTAGAAGCGTGGAACGGAGAAGTCAGAGCGACGAGGCGGGGTGGGAAGGATAGTCGAGCTCAGCAGGGGATACTGGTTTGCACCTGCTCCAACGAGAGAATCGCAGGCGATGAAGTGGGGCAGGGCAGGATAAAGCTACGCCAAGCCAGACTGGCACCGACTCAGAGGGTAAGCGCGATGTGACGAGGCACGCGGGAGGGCGCGCGCGCACGCCACACGTTGAATTGCGTCGTCGACGACAGCGACAGCAGCAGCGACTTGGGACAGCAGCACCAACGGCGATGACACCAGAGGCAGGACGACGAGTGGCTAGGCAAAAAAAAGGAGGGTGCTGCGGGTGCAATGCTGCGACGAGAGCGGGTGGGAGTGGGTGCTGGCGGGCGCAATTGGTCCAGGGCGTCCAGATGGTGGGATTTGGGATCGGCACGACGGGGAGAGGGACTGCGGCACTCAGGCGTCAAGCGAAGCGTCGGGGCGGGCGCTCGAGCAAGAGACAGGCCGGCTGGGCCGACTCGCTGGACGGGGAGGGAGGGTGGCGTGGAGCTGGCGTGGTACACACGACGAGTTGACGTCTTACTAGGCTCAGGTGCGATGAGGCGAGGCGAGGCGTGAAAAGAAAGTCGAATGCGGGTAGCAGGTTCTGGAAGGGCCAGGGCGCGTGAGACCGAAGAATGCACCCAGGGCGTTAAGCACACTCGGCAGACAAGCAGGTCGGGTGCATGTCGCAAAGAAGGTGGGGGAAAAAGAAGGAAGTGGCCGAATAATAAGAGGCAGCAGCAGCGGCAGAAGAAGAAGAAGAAGAAGAAGAGGAAGAGGAAGAGGACGAAGAAGCAGAAGAAGAAGAACCAGGACAAGGACAGGGAGCCGGGCAGGGAGAAGAAGGGGAGAGAGGGAGAGAGAAGGACGGGACAGCAACAGCAGCAGTAGTGGTGCCTTGCATAGACGGCCCCAGGCAGTTTGAAGGACGCTGGGGGGGGAGGGGGGAGGGGGGAACACAAGCGGGCAGCACAACAAAGCAGCGGGCAGCCGGCGGTTGGCGGTCAGGGAGCAATGTACGACCGTCGGACGAGGCCTTGTAGAGAACGGAGAGAGTCGAGTCGAGTGTGGGTGAAGGGTGGACAGGGCCAGGGCACAGCCAATTAATGGATATGCTGGCGCCGAGCACACGAGCGAGCCACACGTGGGAAATCGTTCAATCGAGGCCTCGTGTATCTCAGCAGCCCGTCTAGCGGCGGCTAGCTGCACTTTAATATGGGCACCCTGTCTCGACGCGTGAACTGGTGCCCGCGCTACCGACTCTGCTCCAGACGGGGGACGCGGATTGACTCGGGGCGGCCAAGGGGGGGAAGGGGGGGCGGCGCAGAGTGCCTACTATGTAATAGCATGTGCACTATGGATGTATACAGCGTGTACATGGATGCAGACGGACAGACGGCATGGCAGCACGGCGACAGGCGAGCAGACGGCACGACTCGGGCTGCTTTGGACGACGCCTACTACTGCTTCGCCCTTGGCTACGACGGCGGAAGCGGGATGCGAACATGGCAGAGGCTGGTCCTTTTGTCGTCACCGTCGCCCAAGCCGTGGTGGTGCTAGCCCGCTGCCCGCTGTGCCGCCACGAGGTCCCACATGTCCCTCTGCACATGCTACCCAACCGGCGAGTGCGCCGAGCCCAAGCCAATTCTGCGACAGGACAGGCAGGACAGGCAGGACAGGCAGGACAGCACAGCACAGCACGGCTCTCACGCCTACTGTACGCCCGCCCTCGCTCTGCTGCAGCGGCGGCGAAACAAATCGACGTGGCCACTCCTCGCCGCCCAAGCTGCAGCCACGCCGCGCCATCAGGACCCTCTTGCTCCACGTTCCTCTCTCCCCCCCCATAACCCCGATCCACGCGCCCTTCCTTCACACGCGCGCCTCGCCTCTGCATCCGTCCGTGGCAGCACATGCACCCCTGCCCGCAAGCTCCCGTCGCCTTCGCCTTTGCCATTGCCATACTCTGCTAGCCCCGTGCCTGTCGTGCCGGGGGCCCTCTCGTAGATCGCCAGTGACCGTTGTGCCCAGGCAGACCATCCGGCCATGGCCCTTCATACCTGCTGTTTCCATCCTTGGGCCCTCGAGGCAGCCGTCCGACAAAGCCAGGATTGCCCGCGTCAGCCACCGCAATCATGCCACTGTAGCCCGAGCCCGCACGCCTATTCGCTGCCGGTCCCGTGTTTCTGCCACTCTTGGCACCCTCAATCCACTCCATCCCGTCCACAAACATTCACTCGTCCCTGCTTTCTCCATCGACGTGCCAGTGCCCACCACGCCCATCCGGGGCCGACGAGATCCAGTATCCATGCCATCCTCAAGTGACACGACCGAGGGCTAAACCCGCTTCTATCAATCCAGCATTAGTCCCGCGACCAGCACCCACATGGGCCACGGCCAGGCCACGCTGCTGACTGCATTCTCTCGCCGACACTTGTTCTTGCACCGCCTGTCGCTCTTTCGCCTCGTGCCGGCCTCGGCCCTCTATTGCACCATGCCTGTAGTATATGTTGTCCTCTCCTCACGCTGCAATTGCTTACTCGACTTTGACGGTGCCACCCCACCCAGGCCCAACCACCGGGTCCATACATTCAACCGCACATCCAACGGCCTTGTGCAAGGTGCCACCTGATGTCTTGTACCTCAGCACACTGCTCCATATCTGCTCTGTCTAGCCAGCCTGCTTTGCAATTCCACATTAGTACCGTGGATCGCTTGACCACGGCACCAGCACCGTCATTTGTCATCATCGTCATAATCACCATTATTGTCGTTCCAATAGTATCACACCGTCCACATGGCCCTAGCACCGAGGTGCTAACATTCCTACGCAACAAATCATCGTCACTCTTTACGCTTCCGTCCCGCTTTGTACATGCATGTCAACACTTGGAGCTACAAACACAGCATCATTAGCATGTAAGAGATGTGCGCCTCATCAGACACAGACGCCGTTGTACATGCAGGGCTACACCCCACACGAGAGGAACGGTCCAGGGACTTTTTGTTAATAAAGTTTCAAACACGGCATACACACCAAGTACATGCCACTTATGACGCTGCAGCATTTGAACACCCTCTTTCTGCATCATCATCATCATCATCATCATCACATGGCCCGGCACGTTATCCAGATGCGCCAGATTCGCACAGCAGACGGGCGTCAAGGACGGATGTTGTGCACTCACAACACAACGCGTCAACCTGCCAGCGGCTGGTATCCGCTCATAGGTGGAACTGTTGAGGCGCTGGGGGTAGTACACATGCAAGACAAGCCCAAGCCCGTCATTACACGCTGAGTATCGGTTGGCAACAACAACAAAAACTAGTCGGCCCACGACCCGTATGTATACAGCCTCCGCAACGCATTGATTCAAGCGCATTCGCTTGTCAAAGGGCTCGACCAGTTTGGGGTGCTGGCTAATTTGGTTTGGTGCTATCCAATCCAGTCAGCTCGGCGCTAATAGGGTTATGACCGACGAAATGAGACGACTGCCGACCCGTCCTTGATACATGTGTATTCTGCACCTTGTCTCTGCATGCTTTGCTGGTGACAAACTCGGCGTGCCATGGGCCGACGGGGGTGGCGACAGTACCTGAACAGGCAATGTACCGTAACATGTCTGCAATCAAAGGAGCCGAATAGCCCTGCAGCGCCGGCCACAGACTGGAGTCGTACATGCATATGTATGCGCATAGATACGACATGTGTACATGGACCAAGTCCTACCTAGATGCCGTGCGACCATGAGTAAAGCAGGTTCCGCTTGGCGTCGACTGACTAAGGCCTTCAGAGAAGGGTTGGTTGTGTTGTTAGCTCCGGGGCGCGCCGAGAAAACCTTCTCGGAGGGGCTATTGCCTCACGAATCTAGTAGCACAACGAGACTTGGCCTCGACGGCTTTTTGTCGCTTCAGGGCTCCCTACTGACGCGACTACTAGCGACCCGAAAAGACGGCACGCTACGCGCATGAAGGTCATTACAGGCACAAGTCGGCCCGTTCTTCCAAGCTCTGTGTCAGGCGCTTGCACCGCCATGCTGCCGCGCGACAGGGGTGGTGTCGGCACTGAAAATCTGCCTTCACGTGAGGATCGGCGTGGCGGGGAACCTGGAACACTTCCCTAGCTGCTGCCTTGCGGGGCAGCGCTTGGTCTGCAGACAGGAACACGACGCGTGAAGCGGAGAATTAAATTACAGAAAAGAAAAAAAGAACACGGCGCACGCACAATGGCCGCCGGCGATGCGTACCATGTCGATGCAGTAAAACGCCAAGGTGAGGATGCACTGCCGCAACAAGCCATCTTCCCTTTTCTTAAACTTCCTCGGGAGCTCAGAGACCATGTACGCACTTCACCTATATCGTCCATGCACATGCCTACATCCTGCTGCACAACTAACATATGAGTTAGATATATGACTATGCCTTTGCTGCTCAAAACCACCGTTGCCAGCGCCCCATTGAGCGGCGCAATCTAAAGTACTTCCAGCCCAGCGCCGCTGCCATTCTCCTCATAACCCGCCATGACTACTTCCTCCTCAACCGCCAAGTCGCCCGTGAAGCGCTCGAGGTGCTCTTCAAGCACCATACCGTCTATCTCAGCTGTGGGCCCTTTGTACTCAAGACCCTGTTTCAAAAGATTGAAGAACCAAATGGTCCCGGCAGACAATGGCTCAAGTGGCTGAAAAAGATACACCTGGACTGGGAGACACTCCCCAACCTACGCAACTATCCCCCAGAGCGAGATGAGGCCCGAGTCGATGACTACTGGGAGCACGACCAAGTTGAAGTTGACGTCGACTACATCCGAGGCGCATACTACAACGCCCACTACGACGAGTACGACCACGAAGGCCAACACTACGACGACAACCTGTATGATCCTCCAAACATGCCTCTATACCCTTCCTTCCGCCACCGTACCCCCTCCCAGCCCCCCAACGCAAACGACCCCTTCGGCCTCTCAACCCACTACCCCTTCATCGACCCCAACCGCGATCCCGCACAGGAAGCCTCGGCTGCAGACATATCCAGCAAACTCGATCTCCTCGTCTCCCTCGAAGTAACCCCTTTGTTCACCTACCTCTCCTCGCCTTCCTTCAACCTCACCAGCATCACCCTCCCCTTGGCCTTTATATCCCGCGAGTCGTACCACCACCGCCACCTCTCGCGCCCAGGCTACGCGCTCCCCGTGAAAATCCGCTACTGGATCCAAGTCTGTGTCCACGCACTACTTATGCTCGTTGCCCCGCGTGCACTCGGATGTGCGGAATCGACGACGGCGGCGACGACGACGACGAGTCTGCAACAAGTGCGGGTTCGCTATGCCCCCACGGATATCTGGGCGTCAATGGAACCTGCCGATGATCTGGCGCGTATGGTGGATGAGGGCGTTTGGTTTGACGCTCCCGACGAGGGGCAAGAGGATGACCGCCAGGGCCAGGGCGAAGCCTTTCGTGCAGTGTGGGAAGGCATGAAGGCACGGATTCCTCTGGAGCAGCGCAAGGAGCTAGGCGAGCGCTGGGGTCTTTGTGCCGCCGTCTCGTTTGTCCCTTGGGATGGCGAGATTGATAATGGCAGGGTTGGTGACGAGCTCGAGGTCGTATTTACTAGGGATCATTCCTCCCGATAATTATGCCGACGGTTGGACATGTTTGATTTGAGTGATTTATTTTCACTCGCGAGATTTAATGTATCAAGGTGGGGGGGGGGGGAGAGGAAAATTGTACTACATAAATGCAAAGGAACAAGTCAAGCCACCCGACTTAAAAGGAATAGTCAGTAAGAGGCAAAAAATAAAAATAAAAATTAAAGCCAACTGTTTAATTTTAATTTTTTTTTTTCCAAAAATTCAGTTCTGGGTACGAAAAGAAGGCTAGATATTCAGGAGACCTCAATTTGGCGTTTGGAATTATTATTTTTTTTTTGGCTGGCTCAAAGACTTGCGAAATAACATCATTGTTTCCATGGCATTAATAGCTCAGTCGCGTGTAAAAGCAAATAAACAAACGCACACAACCCGAGGTCAGCCTTGGGTATCGATCGATCCCCCCCCCCCCAAAAAAAAAGACAAGAAAGAAAGAAAGAAAGAAAGAAGAAAGACTAATGTACACGCAAGATGGCTTTTTACAATCTTCTTATTGACGCTGCCCAAGTTGCATTACCCCGCAATCGTTAAAAGGGCCAGAAGGGGGGGGGAAGTCAGGAGGGACATTTGTTAATAACCCCCCAAAAAACAAGGCTTTCATGGCATACTACTGAGAGGAGGCAAAAAAAAAAAGACAGAAAGTCGACCGCATTCCGTTCGGTTTACACGTGGAAGCCTAGCCCCCCCAAAAAGAGGAGGACGGTAAAGAAAGCCGTTAAAATGCCGAGTTTCTCTTGTTTAGTACTCTTTCTTTGCCCTTTTTTGTTATTTTTAAAAGTCCCAGAAAGACTTGTCAGCTGTCTTGCGCCCACCCATACCATCACCCTCGGTCTTAATGCCGACCTGTTTGCCTGTGCTTTCTTTCTTGGCGGGACTCTCGTCGAACAGGGACCAGGCAGCTTCGGTGCCCTTGCGGCCGCCCATGCCGTTGCCGGCAATGTTGATGCCGCGGTTCTCGGGCGAATCAGCGTGCATGCCCCAATGTGTCTTCATGGAACTGCGCACCGCTTGGCTCGACTTGATGTTCTCTTTCTTGCCTACGCCGGGGCTGTCGTCGGTCGTGTTGGTGACGTGGTCATCGTAAAGACCTTGACCCTTGTTGCCCAATTTACTCTTCACGGGGCGCGCGCGCTGCCCCTCGGGTGTGGCATCGTCGTTGAATTCAAAGTGCGCATCCGCATCAGGGCGGGCCTTGTGGACTATTGGACGGCGGACGGGCGAGACATCGTCCTAGAGTAGAGATATGTTAGCATCTTGTTTTTTTTCTTAATTGACAAGTAGAGACGAAAAATCGCAGCCTCCCTCTCTAGCCGACAAAATAAACTAACCTCATCATCGCTCCAGCCAAAGTGTCGAACGGCTTGGGGGTGAGTCTTGGGCTTGGCCTTGTCAGGAGTAGCAAAATCGTCAAAGTCCCAGTGCGCAGAGTTCTTGGTACGGAGCTGGTTCTGCCTTGGCCGTAAGGCCTCCGGGGCCTTGGGTGTCTCCTCGCCGTCACCAAACTGGAAGTGGTCGTACTTCTTTGAGTTTGTCTTGACACTCGAGGGCGCACTGGTAACAGATTCATCGTCGTCTTCTTCGAACAGGCGGTTGGGCTTGTAATTCTTTCCAGCGCCTGATTTGGCTGGGATCTTCTGTGATGGAGTAGGCGAGCCACCCTCGGCGGTAGCGAACAACTCGGAGTACTCGCGTGGCGGAGGTTTGGCCGACTGAGCGCGGGGTGCTCCAGGTTGGCCTGTGTAAGTTGGCTCTTCTTCAGTTTCGCGTGGCGCAAACAGCGAGAGCGACGCGTGCGGGTCATTCATGGCATTGCTTGTCGACCTCTGCGAACGCGAGGAAATGGAAACCTCGTCTGCGCCGCGGGAAGCGGCGGTTGTTGGGCGCGACGAAGCCGCAGACTCAGGCTGAGAAGCAGAGGCATTGTTGGATATCAAGCGGATCTGTTCGCTGGCGTCCCGAATAGGCCAGTTGCGCGATCGCGCGCCGATGACGTCGATCTGCTTGAGGAGCGAGCCCTGGTCCCAGTACTGGCGGATCTGTGTGATTTTGCCTGCGTGATCGAAATGGACCACGTGAACCTGTTCGTGTCAGTGTCGGTGAATCGCGTGGGTGAAAGCCAATGCATACCATGGGGAACGTGGCGGTTCGGTCTGCAACAAAGTTGTCGTCTAGGCCTGGGAGGTATGCGCCGCCGCCGTTGCTGAACTCAACGGTCGTCTCCACATCAACGCTCAGGGCGCGACTGCCCTCAACGGCGTCGAGGATGTTCTGCTTCGTCTTCTTCAACAGCTTCTCCTGGACAGACAAGTGCTTGATGATGGCGGTCGCATCACTGATGCTAGTTGTGGTAGAGACGTAGTGAAGAGTTGCGTTCTCAGCCAGCGCGCCTGTCGAGGGCGTGGCCAGAAATTTGGCATACGTGTCGCGGAGCGTCATGACGCCTTTTTTTATTGCTGCTATATGCTAATCGCTGTGGTGCGTATGGATGATGGATGGTTGTTGGCGCAGCGGCGGTTTCTGGCGGGGCGCGATGGGGGGTGGTGGTACAGGTGTAAGTGTGTAAACAAGCAGAAACCAGGCGCGCGCGCAACTAAGTACCTATGTACGGATCAAGGCAGTGGAGATGGTGAAAGGGGAAAGCATAACGATTACAGGCAGGCCAGGACCGTACGGCCCGCAGCAGCCCCCGGCTTCTCATCTCAGCAGTCTGTTGTTGCTGCAGGGGCACTCCCGCCGTTGCAGACACGCCCCACCTCCAACAGCCACCAAGACCAAGACGGACTGCGGAGGTCCACGTGGATAACCATGTCATGCAGCTAGCTATGATGCTACAGAACTATAATCCATCTCCGCTAACACTCTTTTCGCTCTTTGCCATTTGGCCATGTTTTCTCGACTTGGGAGGACACATTTGCCATCTGCTTACGTCTCTTCTCGGTAATGTCCACAAACGGCGTGTTTCAGATCGCTTTGACGTGCCCGTACAATCTCGGATGCCTGAGCGCTGATTTCGCTTTCCCCGCCAATGCTTTTTCTTTTAGGGGCACACAACACCTGGCCAGCACACGAGCTACTTGAGATATTCTTCATTTATTGGGTACGCTTGACGCCGACAAGCAGGACTCTCCTTGTCAACAGCACTATCTCGCTTCTACCCAAGCCTGTCACAGCACACCACCCAGACCAACTCCAGTGTTAAAGGGGTATATTTTGATGCAAAACCATGTCCGCCATCAGGTAGAATTGGAGTACTCAATTTCCCATGGACAAAGAATAGGAAAGCCATTCTTTGTCCAAGACAAGCAGTGTAGCCTTTACCCCACGCTAGACCACGCTGGTACCATCTAGTCGTCTGAGCCATCCTCGGGTAGATTCCTCAGCACGTCTTCTACAATCCTAATCAGCTCGTCCACATCTGGGCGTTCACTTGGTTCCAGTCTCAAGCATTTCCTGACCACCTCCTTTACGCTGTCTGAGATGGCATCCTCGGGATTGGCCTTTTGCTTGCCCCTTTGGATGCCTTCGTCTGGAAACCTCCAGTCTCCACCCAGCACGCAAATACTTAAACTACCTCCAGTCTCGTCTGATCGTGCTTCGAAAGGACTCTTGCCTACAAGACACGCGTATAGTGTGCAACCTAGCGACCATATGTCGACTTTGGTATCAATGACGGAGCCAGTCTTGACATCAAATAGCTCAGGTGCGCGGTAAGGCATTGTCGAGTGTTCAGCAGCGGTATCTTGGACTTGTAGAGCAAGAGAGCGCGATGTGATGGGCGTCGGTGAAGGCGCGAGGGAGCCAAGATCCATTAGGATGGGTGTCTTGCCGTCGTCATCTATCATAATGTTCCCTGGTATTTCTATTAGTCTTCGCGATTGAGGTGCTCATGTGATGAGCTACATACCTGGCTTAATATCCCTGTGCGCATATGCCCTCTCCCCGCCAGGCGCAATGCCTTCGTGTGCCGCTGTAACCTCAGACTCCTCAAGCAGCCCTTCAGCTTCTTGCTCGTCATCTTCATCATGGTCGCGATTCCGTCTGCTTGGCCGCATCTCCATACTCTCCGCAGCCTCTGCGTCTGCCCTCTTAGCGTCTTTCCTGACTTTCTTCGCTTTCCCCTCACTCGCCCCGCCTCCGGGTCCTTCTTTGACCTTATATTGATGCATCGCCTTAAGAGCTTTACAAACGCCCAGGAATAGCTCCATCAGCCTACGTTCCGGGAACTTTGTGTGGTTGACCAGGTTCGCATTGATCATGTCTTGTAGGTTGCCGCGGCGGTAGTATGGAAGGAGGATGTAGACGGTCTTTGCAGACGGGTCTGACTTGTCGGTCTCGACGGAGTAATCGATCGAGTGAATAATGTTCGGGTGTGGCGCAAAGAGTGAATATGCCTCAACCTCTTTCAGCGCAAGACTGACACTTTCTTGTCCAAAAGGACATCTTATCTTCTTCAGCGCAAGAAGCTGCTGATTTGAATTGTCTTGCACAAGGTACACATAAGAGAAACCACCCTGCATCGAGATCAATTAATTGAACCCAAGTTCGATCGCGCCTTGCGAACTTACCTCACCCAGCAACCGCAGTATCTTGAAGCTTCGGCTATTGACTTTCAGTTGAGGTGAGCTTGGAAAGCAAACCATGCAGTTTGTGAAAGAATAGACAAAGTCGAGGAAGTATGTGCCTAGTGACCCCATGGTTGCAGTTGTTGCAGTTGCGATACTCTCTGTTTGCCAGCTATCAACAACTTTCGGGGCGCGATTCTAGCGTAGAGGCCGGACGCGCGGTCGATGGACAGGCTTTGATTGGACACCACACCGCGAATATAGCGAAACTATTGTAGATGCCGAGTACGGTCGTGGGAATTATAAAGACGATGTTGCTTGCTGAGGCAAGGCGCAACGGTGTTCGGAGAAGCTGACGGCGTGGTTCGTCCGAGATGCGCCAAGGGTGTGGCTGTGAACTCGTAGCTCACGTCACGCTTCTGGAGGCTCGAAACCCCCTCCGGTCAATGCCCCACAGACTTGGGGCCGCTCAGCATAGCTGACATGTGCGAACTAACACACATCAGTTTTGGACTTTCTGAATTTTAGTATATACTTAATCTAATTTGTTATTATTCCATCTTACGTAAGATCCATCGGGCGTATAGCTCAGTGGTAGAGCGCCCGCTTTGCATCAAGCAAAATTGCGGGAGGTCTGGATTTCGATCATCCATCCGTCCAATGTCGTGGACCAACGAGTGTTTGTTGATTTCTTTTTTTTTTGCCCAGCTTTCCCCAACTCTGTCTACCAGCCGCGAGATATGTTTTTGCCCAAGGCGTCTACTCTACCCCAATGGGAATATCACCAATACTTCTAATGTAGTGCTGTTTTATGTTCGCCTAAATGAATCAGGTCACTCAAAAACCACGGTGCTCAGGAATGAGATGCAGGTTGGCACCTCATAGCCTAAAGGGTTACAAAAAGACACAACTAGAGATATTGTCGTGCAGAACATCTTGCTGCTATTGCGACCCTTTCATATTACAAGTACGTAAGTCCATGTGCGTAAGTCAGAAACCCCGCAAATAAGAAAATACACTATCCTACTAGTATGCTCATACCTATGCCACCGGATTGAAGAAACTCACTAGATCTCATATTGCTCAGCGCCTATGAATAAGCACCACGAATACTAGCAAGCCATCCATCAGATCCCAAGACGCTGTCCCACAATGACCACCCCTCCCACAGGTCTGCTCAAACTCCCCCCTCGAACTCCGCCAACAAATCTACCACTACGTCCTCGTCCTAACCCTCCAAACCCGCACAATCACCATATCCATGACCCGTCGAAACTATAACTACAAACTACACGGCTTGGAACCAATCCGGAGCTTAATCTTCACGAACCGCCTCATCAACCATGAAACCCTTCACTACTGCTTCACACATTTCATCTTCCGCCTTGACAGCGACTTCGACTCCCTTCTGACCCTGATGAGCGAATTCTATGTGCAGATCGGCAAACGAATGCGGAAGCTGATTCGGTTCGTTGTGATCCCGCGGTTCAGCGTTGATACGGTGTTTTTCCGAGATGGGTACAGGAGTGCGCCTGCTGAGAGTTTGCCCGAGAAATACAGGGAGCTGGTGGGGGATATGGACATAGCGTTTAGGAAGCTGAAGGGCTTTCGGGCGCTGGGCGAGGTGCGGCTTGGGTTGTATTTTACAGGAGGTGATCAGGGGACAAGAGGGTTAGGGCTTGGGTTAGACGTGAGGATGATGGGGAGAGGGATGGGGATGGAATGGATCAGGCATGGGATTCGTGTATTATGGGGTTGTTTGGGGATGCGAAGAATTTTAGGCCGAGAGTTAAAGATTGGGGATTTGGTGGGAACCTTTACTAAGAGGTGTTCTTGGTGCGGAATCACTGCAGCTTCAGGAAGATGGTTTGCAGCAATTGAGGGCAAAAGCTGCACCTACTCGGGTTGAACTCGTGGAAGCTCCATCGTAAATTATTTGGACAATCCGCTTGGAATAAAAAAATACGAACGGATCGCAGAGACGGTATCTCTTATATCTATTTACGTCCTGATTAATAGTCGTCATCAATTCCAGCCTCCTTTTCAGCCTTTTTCCTCTCCTCATTCATGTCCCAGAACCACCCATGTGTCACAAGATCCGCCTCATTATGCACTTCTTTCCCATTCCACGGTTTAGGAGCCAAAATATAATGAACATTCTTGACCTCCTCATCTCTCCAAATAGAATCATGAACGCCTTTCCAGCGTAAAGTCTTTAGCGCATTATACACATACGGCAGTCCAACCCATCGGCCACGGAAGAGATCAGAAAGCAGCGACTGATCGGCAAAAGCGTAGTCTGCTGTTTGGGGCTTGTCCAGGGTTTTCAAGATAAGGTCGTATACTGCTTTGCTGGGGTTGACGACCTGGAGGCCGCCGTTCATGTACTGAAGTCCAGTGGTGCAGGGAGATCCAGTTGTTTGCGCCTCATCCGGTTTACCATGTTGATGTGTGTAGGCGCAATTCTCAGGGACCCTACTACTCATCAGCGACTTATCTTCTAGCAATAGCGTTTGAAAAGGAAGAATTGACGTTTGGGTGTTAACAAGATGTAAGCTTACCAATCACTAGGATAATGTGCCCTCTTCAGGGGATTGCACACACATGCATGCGAAGCTGCAAAGACCCTGTCGCCCTTGCCTTCGAGAGCGGGAGAATCAAGTTTAATAGTCATCAGCTCGTCCATGTTGCGCATGACGAGCATGTCACTATCTAGCTGGACGATTCGCTCAAACTCTGTTAGCCCAAAAGGAACCATCTTGGTCCAGCAGTCGTAAAACCGTGGGTCATTGCTGTAGTCGTTTCCAGCTGAAGGTAGTAGGTAAGGAACGTGCCGCTTGCGGATACCGCGGCGGTCGAGTGCCTCATGAGCTTCGGCTGGTAGTTCATCCGTGTACAGTACGATGAGCGGGTAGAGAGATTTGGAGCGTTTCAGTGAGTAATCAAGCGTTAAGAGACCCGTGAGGTAGGCTGTGTTTGTGAGGAGTGTTGTCCAGACTGTTGATTGTAAGCAGAGTGCATGATGTGTTGGTTGCTTTGCCAGGTAGTGCTGTGTGGCTTACCTTTGGGTGGGTAGTCGCCCACTGGTGTGTCCACGCTAATAGCTGAAGGTGCCATAATTTCAACAGTTTGAATGAAGCTCAGATCGGGTTTCTCAGACTGCGACGTCAGCTCAGTCTTGTGATATGGGCCTTACAAGAGGGGTGCCGCTGTACTTACCTAGGGCCAGCATTTGTGATACCACTTGGCATCTGTTCGGGCGATGACCAGGCATACTCAGCTTAGTACCAAATCGGTAAAATGGTGTGATAGCCCGACGCTAGCATGCCTCTAGAGGAGATGGATGTTCATGTAACCGGTGAATGCATGCAAAGACGACAGGGGTCTCAAATCCCGAAGGATAGCCCTATGATGGTGTGCGATTCATAAAAAGTAAATCCCATGAAACAAGCAGAGAGACAAGGTCTTATTCATGATAATACACACACAGAGTACAACAAAACGTTGGATTCAAACTATAAGCTCGATGGACAACCCGTCATACATTATAAATCCAACTACGCCAAGGTCGGTAGGCAGGCATGTTCTCGGACTTATCTATATATCGTAGCATCATTCTGTTACTATTCGCCTGATCCGGCACGGAATTAGACACGGGACTTTGCACTAGTCCATGCAGCCACTCTTTTTTTCCTTCGGCCAAATTGCAAGTTGAAGCAATCGCATACATACATGAGACCGTCTCGTGTTATCAAACACACCCGAGTACGTACCGGATGCCTTGGCAAGCTGGCATTAATGATCAACATGGTGACTGTATTAGTCTGCGGCAACAGGGACACGTTTTCCAAGGCTTTCTCTTTAGACCCCGCACCAGTAGTTCCCATGTGAGTCGGTCCGATTCCAGACTGACTTCGGGTGAAAAGCGCTCGACGCGTCATGGTTTAGAGGCCAGAATATTCAGTGACTATCTCTGTGACTTACCGAGGCTTACTTGTCCGTTCGGGAAAATAATAATCGGAGCTGATGCCAGTGGCGGTTGGCAGAGATACCACTAATGCACATCAGATCTCTGTATTTGCCCTGAGATCACTTCCATAGGAGCATCACATGCTTATTTTCTCACTTACTTCTGTGATCACTCGAGATGACCATCAGATACCTCACCTCTGGCCCTCAAAATCCGCGCAAGTCACTTACAACACGGCGAGATCACAGTGGCTAAGCCACATATCGATGGTACATTAGGAGATGAAATCGTCCTCGCTCAAGCACTAGAAAAGGAAAAACAACCTAAGAACGGCAATCATGAAATTACTATATATAATTACATCCAATTTAACTCAGTCTCTCAACGCCCATACACCCCAATAATCTGATTTTTCTCCCTTTCAATCACTAATAGGTATATAATCTACCGCACAACCTCATACCCCTCTTGGCATCGCTACTCATCCTCCTCCTCCTCATCACTATCCTCTTCCATCCCCTCCGCAGCCTCAACCTGAAACGTAGGCGCCTGATCAACACCAAGATAACTATCGCTTACCAGATAGAGCGTCAACTCATGGCTACCCGGCTTCTCGAGCGTAAACTCCAGCACCGTCTCGAGCTTCCGTAGGATCGGTACTTTCTTAATAGCAAGCAGCGTGCGCTCCTTCTGGTCTCCAAGCACAAGCCACCAGCTCTCCGTCTTGTCGGCAGGGTAAAACGGAGCGTGGACTTCGGTCTTGGGCTCCTCGTCTTCTTCGAGGTTGCGCGTGACGCGGACTTTGAGTTGGGCAGGGCTGTTCGAAGCGATGTTCTCTGGGTCGACAAGCTGGTGCTCGAGCTCGACGTTGGGGTAGAAGTTGTTTGTGAAGTTTGCAATATCGGCGAGTTGGCGTTGGTCGACGTTGAGAGCGGAGATGAGTTGCTTGTAGTCTGGGTTTTCGTCTTCGTCCATGGCATTGATGAAGTCGTCGACGTCATTGATGCCGAATTTCTGGGCGGCCTTGATGGTGTCGGCGTCGAAGTGCGGGATTTGCTTGAGGGGAGAGTCCTTTTGCCACATTGCTTGGACGACCATTTGGGAGAGCTCCATAGCGGACATGGCGTTGAGATGTGCTTCTGAGGAGAGGACGTCGACACTGGCGCTGAGAATGGTAAGGACCTTTCGCAAGACAATCTCTTGATCCTTGGCTAGATCAATAGGCAGCTGCATGCGCGAGAAGTGAGCTTGGAGAAGGACAAAAGCCTTGAAGTGCGGCGTCTCAAAGTTTGGCTCTTGCATTTTGAATGGAACACGGTCGTAGATGCGCTGAAGAATATGATCTTCGTGTCGTCGAATCTGGATATCTTCAAACTCAGTGGCTGCAGTAATGATCTCCAGTACGCCCTTCAGGCTGGTTCTACCATTCAGTGACATCATGAGTGTCTGCATTGTAATGAACGAAATGTTGTAGTATGCTGCAATCATGCATGGGTTGAGTGGCGTGATGGCATCCTCGTCCTCGTCGTGCTCAATGAGGTTGGCATCCGTCAGCTCCTTGAGGGTCTGTTCGACCATGTCGGACAAATGCGCGCTGAGTCCTTCGTGAGAAGTGTCATGAAGATTGTAGTAGCTAGGGTTGGCGAGTAAGCGACGGTAGAAGTATGTGTATGTCGACCAATCAACAGCTTCCTGCGTAGACTCAATCGTCTTTGCGCTAATCTCTGCGACAAATGCATCGTGGAGGTAGTCGTGGAGGTAACTCTCAATCGGCAGCGCCTCATTCAAGAATTTCTTGTAGTACTCGCGCTTCACTGCAGGCAGCATGAGCACACCCTTGGCTGACTTGTCCAGTCCAACCCTGCCAGCCTTGCCAAACATCTGCAGAATGTCGCTGATGGGGTAGTCGACATATCTGTGTTCACGTCCCTCGTAGAACTGGGTACCTTGGACGACAACAAGATGAGCACTGCTGTCAATCTCCCAGCAAGAGTCTCGTGAAACGATCATGACCTGGATAGCACCGACCTTGAATAGATGCTGGACAGCCCGCTTGTCGAACGAGTTGAGAGCCTCATGGAAGTACCCGATACCGTGAGAAAGCGAAGTCGCAAGCGCTTGCTCATTGATCTTCTCAAGGATGGGTTGGATCTCCGATAGGTCAACATTGAGGAAGCGGTCTTCATCATCATCCGCAATGCATGCGTTGAAGAGATCAGTAGCAGAGTTGCGGGCTTGCTTCCTGTTGGGAACAAAGACCATAGCTGGCTTATCGGGCGACATTTGCGTGATGGCAGAGTATGTCGGTCTCGCCATAGCCATCATGAGAGATGGGAAATGGGGAATGGTGAACGATTGAATCTTGAGCTCGAGCGGTACAGCTCGGATAGCTGGGCTGAAGTTGTAGATGGTGTGCTTGTTTGCACCTATCCACTCGCCAATGTCTCGTGCGTTTGACAAAGAGACGCTCAGCCCAACGATACGTAGCTTCGACTCGAGCTGAGTCGCCATAGCTTGCATACGAGACACAACAATCTCGTATACATGACCGTTGGACCCGCCAAGCATGTGCAATTCATCAGCGATCAACAGCGACACAGACTGCACGTTCTTTCGGCGCTGCCATTGACGAGAGAGGGAGTCCCATTGAGAAGGTGTAGCCAAAATGAGGTCACCCTTCTCAAGGAGTCGCAGATCTGCCGTAGTTTCGCCAGTAAGCTTGACAATGTCTTTGCCTCCAGAGAGACCCGACAACCGCTCATTCCAGTTCTTGTATTGATTGTCAACAAGTTCCTGGAACGGCGCTAGGTAAACTATACGGCCTTCGTCACCGGAGCCCCAGTGTCTCAAAATGGCGAATTCAGCGCAGATGGTCTTTCCGATACCGGCCGATGCACCAATGAGTGCGTTGTCGTCTGTGGTGTAGAGGGTGTTAAAAGTTTGCGTCTGAACCTTGTTGAA